TTATAATGCTAATTACAAGAAAAGCTAATCCAACTTCTGCTGGAGCAGTCTGGTTTTTTCAAATGCCGTAACGAAAATGGTTAGTCACCAACACCTATTTAATTTTATTGTGTTTCATTAGTAAATCGTATATCTACCTTAAAAGACGTATAAATTTGAAGTGTATCTGACTTGTTTTCATTGATTACACTGGGATTAGCTTTTGTTATCAGAAGACACGGCGACTGTTTTCGCTAAATATTTTGTGGAAGCTAATTAATATTATTTGCCTACGTCGATCAATGCCCAGTACAGGGGGCATGACCCACGAGCGTTCCACCTCCTTGACTTGAATAATTACCTGCAGTACAAAGCGCTAGCAATGACAGTTCACTGTTTTAACGATATTGTGTATTAATTATTCGAACTTTTTACCATGGTACGGTACTCATAACGATAGAAAATAATCAGGTTGACATACACTTCTATAATAACAGCTTACCAAGGCGACCTAGCATAGGGGCATCGAGGCGGCGATGCGGTAGTCGCAACTGCCCGCTACTTCAAAGAGTTGAGTAAGGTATTTCCTGATGTATTACTTTGTAAAAGGTCATTGTGAATATCGCGCTTATACAAAGTCTTATATGTAAAAACGTAACGTGGACCTGCTTCGAAACCTTTCTAACTGTACTTCAGTCAACCCCGCTAATTGAAACAAGATGCTTTATTTAAAAAATGCACTTTTGTAACACATTTTTCACTAGAGTTATTTTAATATTATTTACTTGATTCTCCTGGAAGATCTACAGTATTATTTTAAGCGGAGTTACACTGATCGACGTGCTTTTTATAAATGAAAAACAATAAAGTGTTACCTGCTAAGTAACTCTAATTCTAGCAAGGGAGTAGTTAGACAATTGGCAACTTTTTTATGGGCTTCGGAATTTCAGCCTGTTTATAATAGCAAATGATTACAATAAAATTAGTCAAATTTAGATTACTTACATGTATATACATTATTTACATATTATATATATACAAATTAGCAGCGCAAAATCACGAGATCAAAATGAGATGTGGGACGTAAAGCATTTTGCTGTATATACGAGGAGCAATGGTTAGTCGGAAAAGAATATAGAGCGTCACGGTTCAGCTAGCTTCCAACGGAATCAGTATTTGAGTATACTAATAGGATGTATTTCAGCAAAATACTGGCTTGCACGATCTGCCCCCATCACCATCAATGCGAGCCTATAGAACTTTTGAGTCTATAGAAAAATCTCAATGAGCATCTCCTTTGCAGGTAATAAATTTGCTAAAAACAGCGGCGTTACTATATCCTGATAGCTTAATTTAACCCTACTTCCGTAACATTGTCGCATTACACATCGAACAATGATATTTTGATCGATAATAAAAAGACACACTAAAGCGACCTTGGCCACCGGCGTAAAGAAATAGTTATTGGTTTCAAAACTAATAATAGGCAGACCAAAACAAACAATCGATTTTTTAAGGTAATACCCTTTTTACAGCGGGCGATACAAAATACCGTAAAGCCACTAGGAAACTCCCAGACGCTTAGGCAAACTAAGCGAAGGTGGTCCAGTAGGCTAGGAAAAAACAGATTAGTAGTTTCTATCTAGTAGGTATTAACATAGCTTATCTAGTATCTAGCCATCAAGCGTAACATCAAGGACCTGTGGAACATATTGCTAAAAGTGAAGCCGAGATAGAACGCTAGAAGTACGAGAGTCCGAGAATATTCGACTAGTTGGACTTTCATTGAACGCCACTGTATTGAGTGCAATGTCTCCATCCTGCAAAAAACCCCTTAGAAATAAATCAGTCAGTCTCCGGATCTTGATGTAGGAAAGGCAAACTATTATACCCTTCTGAATAGGACTTTGGCTGTTTCTAGACTTCCATTGATAAGACGGCCTAGAACAAAAGACAAACAAATGCCTGCCATATGAAGCGATTCTAGAAAGCACGCCTCGAAAAGCTTCATATTTAGCGCATACTTTCACTACTGCATTTCTATCCTTCTATCCATGACTTGTTCGACCTTACCGTATATTTTCTGGTGGGCATCCGGGTTTTTCCAAAACAGTGGCTAGTAAGTTGGCGTCCTATACTGCATTAATGAAAAACACGAAAGCCCGCAAAACGAGAATATGGTGCGTTGTATTACCATTACAGTTTTCAAATTGCGCGCTAAAATGAAAATCAAATGTATTGGCAGTGCAATTTCTGGTAAATTCGTTAATGTTCTCTTTTTTGTTCTCTTATGAGTCAGCGTTCCTAGAAAGATCGTTTGTGAGAGACCTTCGGGAAGAAGTGTACAAAGGGTACGTATTTTGGAAGCGAGACGAACAGAACGACGATCGTCAATGGCAGATTCCTTTTCAACAGCTGACTGTTATGTCTCACAACGTCATTATTATCACGAAGTTGTCAACATTGTTGATACCACTTATAAGTATCAACCTTGCAACAATCGAGTCCGTGCTGTAATCGTAGCTTCATCAACTTCTTCCGGTTTTGCTCGAGCTTTTAGCCGCGTATAGCTTATCAATCTTAGGGATTACGCTTTGCGTTTTAGATGACGTTAATGTCTACCCATCGCAGGCTTCTTTTGCGGACTTTCGTATTTCGTATAATAGATACATGAGAGTATTGTCCCAGATGGAATCACCTACAGCGAATCCAAAATTACTTGTGAACAGGCTGCCAAAAGCAAAGCAGTTCCTGTAACTGTGGCGTCTGCTACGCTTAGCGACGAAGTCATGTCATTATGAACTACATCGAACATGTTCTCGCCTTGCCGAGATAGAAAATTCGATAGAAAAATCCATGAGACGATTTACACGACATGCCCCGCCACGTCAGTCCCAGAAAAAGGTGACATGTCTTAGTTTCATGGCTAATAAAGCAATAAAAGAAAGCAACAGAATAGTCAACGTCACGAAAAAACGTTGCTTTATAAAGACAAGCAGCATTAATTTAATAATCGGTAAAATGCTCTCTCCACGCTATCGTACACATAAAGGCCGTTTACCCCCCTACAGTGCGGTAACAAGAACAAGAAATCTCGCATTATGAACCTAATCAATGCATGTTCCACAGACACGCAGCATCTGTTTTACGTTACAATCGAGTACATTCAGTTGGCGGACAACTGAATTTTTGCCCATGGTATGGGCAAAAAGTGATTTTAAATATTGTGCGTTATTTTGATTATTAAAACCCATGTACGCTCTGAAGCAGACGATTACGCGGTATGCTAACATACACACACACACACACATACACACACACACACACACACACACACACACACACACACACACACACACACACTCTTTGAAAATGACTGTTTCCGTCGTAACATATTATAGTAGAGGCACAACCGACTCAGCTAATTATAAGGGCATGAAAGCATATTTATTGCAAGAATCGGAACTCAACTATTATCGTTTCGGTTCAACAAAATAAGGTCCATACAACAGATATTACATACGTTTGCTATAGGTAGCTTCAGGCTTTAGATTGATTGTAGCATTTTTGTAACCAGTCAATATGCTAGAAACCGTGTTTTTTGGTAGACATTCGTATTGGTAATTATTTTTTGCTACAGTCGGGAAATACGAGTAACTTAGGGGGGTGCACCTGCGAGAGTGCATAAGCTCAAGCGTGAATTTGGACTACATCCTACGAATTCGGCCAACCGTCGAAATAGACTGCGCTTGTTTAAATATGAAGCACCCTGATTTATAAGAAAAACATTGAATTTTAGGTTTTATTAGGCATAATAATTAGGGTTTGGACCTCAACTCAAGTCTTATGTTGCATTTGGTGCCGAATTTGAAGAATGAGCAAAACCGTTTGACGGTCGGTCAATTTAGGGTCGATGTCTACACCGATAGATAGATAGATATATCCATAGGTCGTAAGTTGTCCAATACGTTGGCAAATAGTATTCAAGAGGCCCTATATTGGAAAACGTAGCCGCACTTCAGTTATTCTTAACTAATCGAAAGTGTACTATAGCTTTAGAGTCACACTGCTCCAAACGCCTGTAAAAGTCAAAAAAATTATTTAACCTATTCACAAGGCCAGAACAGCCGTCCAGGTGGTAAACAAACGTAATCACATTGCAATATTGTCACACTTCATGTTGTTCGGCTGGGACAGCTTTAGCTCAATAGGACACTCTGCCTAACTGTTTGTGTGTGTGTTTGTTGACCAAACTCTACCGCAGTGACCTTCAAGAAGCCTATAATCTCATCATCCGTTATTGTAGACAAACGACTAAAAGGCGTTTCTAGTAGAACCATTTAGGCAAAAGAAGATCGGCTAAGCGGTCTTTGTTCAGACGGTACCGCTCCACTCCATGTCGGTGCAACAACAAGTCATCTACAAACATACCTGTAACATACTACATAACGTCACCTGCAAATATACTTCATAATTAAAAGCTAACCGAACAGAGAAGTGGGTAAAAATTCTAAAAACCAGCAGAGAAACGGCGTTGTTAGTTTAAGCAATTGTATGCACACTTACAATGGTATAATACTACTTGATTGACAAATATCCTATGGCCATGGTGAATGTTGTGAGCGTCGCCATACGCTTACCGGCACATCATACATTAATTCAACATAAAATATTTTGTGTCACCGTAACATGCAAAAGAGGCATACAAGAGACACAATCGTCAAGTGTTGATGCACCAATCCCTAAACAGAACTCTCAGGTACTACCAATACGTTCCTCTTTATATATTTCTGTCATTTCAGATAACAATGCTTATCGCCAAAACTAAATTTTAAATCTATGTAAAAGCTATACCATTAAGAATTTTTAATTTATTTAGAAATTTAAAAAAGTTAAATAATTAACTTAATAAAAATTAAATAGTTAGTAGTAACATTTGTGTTATAATATAATCTCTACCCAATGGTATCTATAAATATATCTTTCCCTCATCGTGCACTAGAAAGAAACAGGTCTGCCGGTACGATTTTTTAATGCTATTTATTCTAAAATCTATGAATGCATGTACAGCTATAAGATTTGTGCTCAATTCATAGGAGAGGACATCATTTTTGGACGTATCATATACAGACAGATGCGAATACATTCGAGATGAAATACTAAGCGCGGTATATCAATTTTTTTAAATAAACGTTGCCTTTTAATATGGGACGATGCTATTGTTAAGTGCTCACCATTGACTTGATTCGAAAATTGGTTCCTCGCATATGTCCTCTTTATGATTTTCTGTATCTGTTATCAACCGCGATATCATCAAGTATTAACTAGGGAATGTGAAAGGCGTACGCCTATTCGTACTGTGATCGACCCGCTACTTTATTTTTTAGCCAGCTAAACGGCAAGCCAATCTTTTCATACGGATACTAACATATCATTGTATATTTTTCAACTCTCAGTCGAATGAAAACAAGGACAAAATGGATTCGTTAGGGTAACTGTCTCACTTCCATCTAACAGATCTAATTATTAAATGGTAGCAGTAAAAGGATCAACTCAATCACGTACGTGGCCTTGCTTATTCAAAAAACTTATGTAATAATTCTAAAAATTTTGCAACACATGCGCATAATTAATATATAAGTATTTTCATGCATTCTTCAGTGATGCACAGAGATGATCTGCGCTTAGCGTAACTTTGACGCTGAGCATTAAGTTCGGCTAAGAAAATTGTACCATACAGTAAGCTGAGCTTCGAAAGCATTCAACGCATTACCTCTTGCCTTGGCGTAAGGCGTAAGATCAAGGGCATGAGAAAAATATCAGTGAAGTTGAAGCCGGGCCTGAGTTGCAATGGAACTGGAGTCTTTGAACATTTGTCAAAACGTACCTTTAACAGGATATCAGCTATTAACACCTGAATAAGTATCAGAGCAAGCCGGCGTCCAATGCAACTTTTGGGTCCGTCGCCGAAGGTGAGGAAAGCCGAGGTTTCTGAGACGACTTGTTCATCCTTCAAAAAACGTTCAGGGATAAACTTATCGGGCTCGGGGAAATACTTCGGGTCATGGTGAAGAAAAGCGATTGGAAATTCGACAATCATACCTTTTTTAATAGCTATTCCGGCCACTTCCGTATCCTCGGTAGCGATACGGTCTATTGAAAATGTGATCGGCACAATACGTAGTGATTCTAGAAGACAGGCTTCAAGAAGCTTCATCTTTTGTACATCGTCATAGTGGACTTCCGTTCGTTCGCCCATAATGTGCTTCACCTCGTCGTAAACCCGGTCTTGCACTTCTGGGTTTGTAGCGAGGAAATAGGTACATAGCTGCAGAGTTATTGCGCTTGTTTCAATGCCGCCAATGAAAAAGAGGAAGGCTTGCGATGCAAGAACTTCGTCGGTGATGTAATTGTCGGCGTTTTCTTTCTGGGCTATGAGGTGCAGATCAAGGATGTCAGCCGTTCCATTTTTGATAACTTCGTCAAGATTTTTTTTTTTTTCTGCCAAAATGTGTTTTCCAATATTGCCAAAGAACTTTGTTGCCCCTTTTGGCGGGAAATGAGCAAAAGGCAGGTATCGAATTATACTGGGAAACGTGAAAGCAAGTATTAGCGATAGACCTGGTCTTAAAATCTGAGTACCGTATTTCACAAAATCGTTGTCAGGATCGTTGAGACAGTCAAGATCTATTCCAAAAGACACTGCTACGATTGAATCCATGCTATAGTTATAAAAAAGCTTCTTCAAATCTATTTCATTGTGGTTGGACTTCGCTACAGCCGCTATTGTGTTGCCATATCGTTTGGCCACCTTGTCAAACTTCGGAATCATTCCTTTGATCTTCGACGAAGTGAAGGTATACCCCATTACCGTCCTCACGGCTTTCCATTGGTCGTACGGTAGATGTGTAAGAGTGTTGTCCCAGAGGGCATCGCCGGTCGAGAACTCGAAAGTTCTTCCGAAAAAACTACCAAACTGTTTAATAAGCACCTCCTTAGCAATTTCCGCGTCTGCTACCATTAGCGATGGCGTCAAGCCCCGATATGTGCCATAGATAGTTCCATACTTTTTGACGTCGTCACGGATGACTTCAGAGATGACTCTAGTGTTGAACAACCACAAGAGTCGGTAAAAATGTCTTGGCCATGATTCATACGGCAATCCACGTTTGCTCCAAAAAAGGCACACATTTATTAGCTTAATAATTAGCAGGGCTACCAAAACGAGCAACAGGTAAGGCCACATAGCTGAAGAATCCTTAGGAAAGATACCATTGATACGCAATAGCAGTTACTGCGCGATTGTTATAAGTCGCCCTTGAAAGCAATCATGATTGTCTTTCCTTCCCCCAAATGGAAAGGGCGGATCTGTGGAATAGTTGTGGTGACGTTGAAGTTCGCCTGTTTCATGCCATTGCACGTAGCAATAAACACTTAAGAGATTATCTAGTTGTGTAACCGTGTTATTATTACTCTCATTAGATGTCTATGCATTTCATACCTTTTAACACGAACTAGTTACTAGTGATAAAGTATTTAATGTGTTTTACTTCTAGCACAGTTTGACAAGGAGGGAAACAGTGCGTGTTATTTATGGTAACAAATATCAAGAGCTATAAAAACAGGTTTCAATGAGTTTTGCAGCTTTGGTATAGTTATTACTCTGATATAATCCAAAAACCCCTGAATATGGTTGAAAGGTTCACAATTCGTAAACAACTGGGATGTACAATCTATTTTGCTACTTCTTCATGTTTGCGTATTCGAAGTAAAATGGAAATACCCGTAAGTTAACGCGAAAGATATTAACTGAATTCTGTAATAAATATTACGTTATAGAAGAATGAAATAAAGGACAAAACATATTATTATAGTTTTTGTGTTACATTTAGCTTTTGTTTTAAGAAATGTTTTACGAAATTATGGTGTTTTGAGAAATAATATATACTTGAGAGTCAGAACTTGATATAGAACTTTGGTATCCAGACGAAACTATGAAAACAGCAGCGTCTAAATTTAAGAAGTTGCCAACAACACTTGCTTTAGCGCCAAGTCTAAGGCAGTCAATAATCCGGGCGACCTTTCCGTGTATTTGCCTCTTGATCGTTGCTAACAATTAGTGTGTCAATCTATGCTCAGTAGGGGCGATTATAAAAAGAACGCATGCAAAAACAGTAATAACTCAAGCATATTTTCTAGTTAATCCACGATCATATGATCTGGTCGTGTGGAAACCTGGACCTATGTAAGGTCTAAATGTTTGTCTTATTTTTTTCAATGACTGCACCTAATCAGCATAAATATGAAACAGGATGTTTCATGTGACAGAAATGTTTGCTAAGCTCTTAACAATCTGTACATGTTTTTTCGAGCGTTGATTCAAGACCATAGTTATCCTGCCCCTATACCGATGCCAATAATCAATAGGAAAAAAAGAAATCAATAGGAAAAATACGGTCGAGATTATAGTTGGAATTTCTGCTTGAAGGTATTATCAAATTCAATGCACATCCAGAACTAAAAAGCCGTCAGCACGGGTGTCCTCTCGGCCTACTGTTGATTGAAAAAACGTGACGTGGACTACGATAACCAACAGATTTGAGTGTGTGCTTTATAAGGTTTTTTGCTGGACTAGCTAGTCATTACCTTTTCTCGTCCACTATTGCTTATGCCCCTAAATTAAATACACTGGTAAGGCCCCCCGCACTGCCTTATTCTCTATTAGTTAGTATCGCAACTAATCAAGTTCAACGGAGTGTATTATACCGATCACAATAAATACAGATATTTGATCCTCATAGAATTGCGTGCATATCTATGAATGTACATCTTGTTGTCTTGTTGCCCCCATATACAAGCTGCCTTTTTAACAGGTTTACCCATTTTTTACCCACTCTTATGTTAGCCTATCGTAGATAATGAGCACACAGTTCACTTGGCATCGTGTATCTAGCAGAGAAATATCCAATGACGAGATCGGATTTGTTTAATCCATCTTTTTTTTTTTCGAAGTGAGAATCAGAACCAGCTTGCCCGGATGCGATGCAATTTTATCATAGTTTGTGAATTTTAATATTTTCTGTAAGTTGCTTTTTCTGATGCGCTTTCAATAGAATAAATCTTGTGTTAATTTACTGGGTATAACATTAACATACTGGATATAGCATTGCAAATCGTTGATTTTTATTCATTGTCAGTTTTATACGAGTATAAATATTGAACAATCCCCGCTATAAATAATTCCCGGTGATGCTATTTGAAGGCGTGCACGAAGTGAACTAGTTAAATGTACTATTTATGGTGGATCCGAGCATCATCTGGCCTAGGCGGATGAAATCGATCCATACTTTACGAGAATAGGTCGTATTCCGAGACGGGAGCTTATTCCAATAATTTGGATTGATAAAAACGCAATTTTCTGTTACAGTCTATCAATTCGTCAACGTCACTACCTTTATGCACTTTCCATTATGATGACACTTTCTGATGTTTCTAGAAAGTTTATTTGGCCACAAAAGTTAATAATAATATTATGTCTAGCATTAGCGTTCAAGCAGAGTTATCTCGTACACGATATTTTTTTAAAACGCTGTTAGTTTAGCTGCGTGCAATTAGGAAATCCGAGCGAATATTTGCATCCTATGCAAGGTTCATTCAACTTTTGTCGGAAAAGGTAAGGGAAATAGCAAGAAGTGTGTGTGTGTGTGCCAGACTTATTTGAGATAATACGGTTCTCCGAGATTTTATAGTAGCATATGTTTTTTTTTTTTGGAAAAAAATACCTGCACTGTGTTTCAATCAATACGTATTTTTTATTTACGTTTGTCTATTATTAATTCGAAATATGCTAATCGTAGAACTTTCACTTTGGTTACAGTCGATAACCTTTTTCACGATTAATCGAAGAGCGACAAAATGTCAAACAACTTCATTCATTCATTTAGTGATTTCCTTTTTGTGAGAAAATATTATTTCACTTTTTCCTAATTATTTAAATTTTGAACAACAATGCCGTAACTCTTTCCTTGAAATCTATCGAAAATCGTTATAATAACATTATCTCGACGAAAATTAGAAATTTACATATTTTTCGGAAATCGTCGAAGTGTGTTAGGAACAAACTGCGACTTGCGATACGAAAATTACTATAGCATGCTTATCTGTGATGTGCTTTACTATGACAAATAATATAACGAAGGAAAATTTTGCCAACGTCATACGGTTATGGGGTTGTCTAGGCCCTTCACTAAACGAAATTCAAGCCTACTTTTCCTCTGTCTCTATTAACGAAGTTACAACGAAAGCCTTTGACGGTGTTTTACAGTTACCGATAGGCCCGATGTGGTAACAATCTTTCTGAAAGAAACATACGCCGGCCTGTTTATTAAGACAATTTATTCATAATTATGGCCAGGCAAGACTATTTGCGGTATCTCAGCGGTCTCGTACAATGCTATCCCGTCAAATTCGTATCAGCACTTAACACAAACATGCCATTAATGTGGACCTATGACAGGATTTCCTGCTAGTTACCCCGCGTACCTGGCAGTGTAGTACTTAATTTGTATCCACCATAGCTTTCTGTATTGTTTAAGTGAGAGCCACTTTTCTCGACACTGAGTACTTAACGATAGTGGCTGGAGCACTTCGCAATTTTCGGATACCATTCATCTGGCCCCATGATAACGCAACCGTAGTGTGTCTTTTTACTGACTCTTGGAATACATAGCTGTAGAGGTTTAAGACTGGACTTAGACACCCTTCGATTTGTGGCAAGAACCAATAGTTCAAAACAAGACTCAACAGCGGTACCGACCGTAAAATTTGAATGTTGATATTATAGACTCCACATATTCGAGAGCCAACTGGCCTACATCGAGGTGATAATCGCGATTCAGGCTAAACTAATGCCTTGTGATTAAGGTTACAACCTATTTTGGGATAGTGTTATTTTTTTACCCTCTAACTCAGTCTTATATCAACCATAGCCCCTCTTGGATACATTGTTCTGTCAACAAACAATTATACGCGAAAAAGTACGCTTCTATCTATGGAACAAGCTACAAATGTAGTTCTAAAAAAACACAGATGTTCTGTGAGTAAAGGCAGTAGCTTTACAAGATGTCAAATTCAATATCAAAACTACGCACCGCACCTGTGCAGTATTACAACATACGTTGTGTAATAATAAGAATAATAGTGATATTCAGTAATTGCTTTGTGTATGTGATTTTGTATCTGGACCAGATACAAAAAAAAGAACCACTGCAAAATAATATGAACTTTTCCGGATTGCATGTGTTTATATGCTCTAGACATCTTTATATTAAGTAGGAAATTATGATAATTACTAACCAATATCAGTCATAACAGCGAATACGTTTTTCAGATGTCTTGCATTTGTACGCAAAGATAATAGAAAACAGTAACATCGTTAGAAATAGCTTTTACTTACTCCATTTATTTTAAATACATGACACCCAATTTAATTCATTAATTAATTCGGTAAAGCGATTTATTAACATGTTATTATACTTTTGCAATAATATGTAAAGCAGTTACAAACGAATTCGGCGAACTTTGAGATTGACTAATTTTTGAACGATTGTCGCTAGCAGAAGGAATTTAGCTGATAAATACTCTAATCTTTTAGAAACTTGTAAATGAAAAGTGGGTTAGTCTATTTTGGCAGAAATGAGCTCAGGACAAGAAAAAAGGTCTTTTAATTTTGACAATCATACGCCCAGTGATCAAGTTTTTGCACTTCAAAGGCTACAGCGCTACCGAAATTCCTTGAAAATCTGCAAAAGCATTAAATAAGGAGGTCTTAAGTGAAAGGACAGTACGGAGATCAGCGAGAGCATGAGCAGATGTCGGAACGCATCACCGCAATTGAGGAGGCTTTTTACGAAAATAGAGCCCAACGTTTAAATGCTCTATGAACTAAAACTAGCACACACATGTAACGTGTTACAGAATCACAAAATAAATACTGAAAATGCGGGAACTGAGTAAAAAGGGGTCACCCATGAATCGGCTTCAGGCTAGTTAGAAATACGTCTAATATATTCGACGCACAATTTGCATAACTTTAAGCAACGAGGAACTCTCCTGGAGGAGAGTCGGCGAGGGGGGAGAAGTCGAGCTTAGTGGCAGTATGTAGTAAATTCGAACTGAAGGTAGTGGTAGTACTTGCAGTGAACGTTAGAAGCTTCTACTGCTATAAAATGCTTGCCTAGAATAAAATAATAGATCCAGCCTGCTCTCCTTGAGAGACTCATAGGCTGCTAGCACGGCAACCGAAAGCACACACTCTGCCTACTTCATAACAATGCTTCAATTACTTTTTGAATTGGAATATTTAATATCAGCTTCAACCCGCTAATTCTCGAGACCTAAGTTCGTGTGACTGCGGTACTTTCCATACCCTAAAAAAGGCAACTAATAGGCAAGCATTTCCGACTAAGGATTTACTTTGAAACGCCATAGATAGATAGAAAGTACTTATGGAAACAAGAATAGCAGGTACGTGGCTACCATAAGTATGAAAAAAAATAAAAAAAAGTACCTTTAACACATCTTAAAAATCATAATTCGAGTCCAGCTAGTGCAAAAGTTATTCAGTTCCAAATCTACCGGATTTGCTTGTAAAAGCCAACAATCTGGTTTATACAATGGTGATTAACTCTAGCCTGAGTTTCTAGATTTATTGACTCCTCTACACACATTTCGCCTTAAAAAGGTTGAGATGCAATGTCTTATCTTACCAGTAAGTCAAAATATTGGGAATATCATAGAATGCTTGGACACGCTACATGTGTGTACATACAATTTTTCAGGCAATAACAAAATCCAACATAAAAGAAAAGCCCAGAGATAACAGCTGTGAAGCGTCTCAAAACGCATATTTACTTTTTTTAGCTACCCACGACGGTGCGCTACAATAGGGAAACGTCAAAGCAGCAAATTCAGATCTAACAACATTGCTATAATAGTTATAAGGTGGCTACAAACGATAATCCTTTAATATTGCATAAATATGCATAAAACTTTTGCTAATTCACCGGGGACATTGAGATTATTGTTACTAAAATACTCGTCGTGAAGAATGAGAAAGAACTTCTGGGTCTCCGGTGTTCAATATTTTCCAACTATTTCTCTCATGAGCAAGCCCGTGGACCCCAATGTTCTCGAAAATCCCTCAATGTATATATGCTAACATTAACACAGGTACTATGCTTCGATACGGTACTAGATTACCTAATGTGTTCCATGGGCTCTATCAGTCTAAGCCATTATTGACTGGTGGTAGCACAGATATTGCAGGTAAATGCTACTGGTAATATATATGGCTTAGCAGCTTCCTAAACACGCGAAATGAATTACTAAGAGTACATTTCTCCAGCGTTAAAAAAGCCGTTTAAGGATTAATTAAACAAAGGAGCAACTTATATATTTAGCACCTCATGAATCAATATTTGGTTTATTACTCATGACCACATCTGTTTCTATCGGTCATGTGTATAAAACAATAATTTTTTGCAATATACAGGAAATATATTGTCTTTTAAATTCAGCCCGAATACGCGATTTTTAAACGGATACAGATAAATGTCAGTATATACATATAGTAGAAATCATTGTATTAACAAGAAAAAAGAGTGTCTCGACTTGGGAAACAACAGCACTCAGCAATATTTTGAAATATCTTACTCAATAGATCAACTAATTCCAGAAAATAATCGAAGATTTTAAAAGATTTTGCTACAAACAGCAATATCAATTGACATACTTAACATTAATGAACCATGCAGGTCAGTAAAATGGTGAAAGGGATCTTACGGGATCTAGGTCCAATTTCCCTTACGAGACAAATTAAAGAAAGACGCGACGCAAACTGAGTTTGAATGGGAGTTATTTGCTGTACATCTGAAGCTGCAGGTATTCTTTGAGCTCCTAAAATACATACTGGCCATACATTTTCAAATTTGCTTTTTTTTGATTGTTTACGGAAATTCTAAAAATTGATAGATGTTATCGAAGAGACCAAACCACATACATCTTCGTTAGGCTAAATAATACCATGATGCGAAATTTTGATAATAATGAATTAAAAGTTACAATAAGAACATTGATTATGTATATACTTAGCAATAAAATCCAATGGCTGCATACAGGTCAGATCTAATGAGATATTCCCAGATATGATGGACAAAAATGAATAGTGAAGTTAACTGCATGATTAAAGACGACCATTGCCTTCGTTTTGCAGTAAATCATTGAATCCACGTTAAATTGAACGATTCGGCTGCATAGTATATCCATATCCTACTTTTACATACAGAAAAAGCCACTGTATAACCATAGCAAAAAAAATTATTCAATGTAGTAGTTTTATACAAGAAGCAAACCACTTTTCATAATCTTTTATTCCTCAGCGCCAAATTTTTACTTAAAATATATCCAAATGAATTCATTCAAATTACTTCATCATATTTAACAAGTAAAGAGATCGTTTTCCTGCTGAAAATGCCAATTATTACTTATGCCATTAACTTAAATGGGCGCTAGGATCATTATCATAGAAACTTAAGCTTCTTCCTGTTGTTTTTACAGAGAATTTTTACCTTCCTCTCGATCAATGGCATGTTTACCTTTATACGGTCGGGCTACGCCTATTGTCAAGGGAAGTATAGTAGGTAGCCTTCAGGCCTTTATCATAACGTTTTCCAATCCTTTTTATTATTTAACGGAGTCCGTCTCCGATCAGCCTCCCACGTTTATCACTGCATTCTCAGAAGTGTACAACAGTTCTACACTATCTACGCGATTCCCATTTAAGACTTTTAAATACAATTCATTTTCCCAACGATTACTTATAAAGAGACTGGGTCTTGTGAAAGAGACGTCTAGAACAAATCGCTTCGAAGAGATAAAGGCTGGCGCCTGCCCGCTCTCTTGCATGTGCTGATGGCATGGAAACTAAACTACATTTTACAGCTAAAACACGTCTTCTTCTACAAAGACTAGGACCCTAAGGCTAGAGTGGAATGGGTCCAGGGAGCACCTCTGGGCTCATTCTATCCTGTTGACTTTGCCGAATGGCATCGGCGCGTTCTTCCATAGCGACTTTACGTTGGCGGTGTCGTTGACATGCCCCATCAGCACGCTCAGCTGCCCTTTCCGCAGCACCCAGGCCCGCTTCGCACGCTGAGCACCAATCTGCCAGAAGTCGACTCACAGTTGAGAGATCACCTATAATAGATAGATGACGATTATTATGTGTTATATGTTTATAAACCAATAGTTATTATATTAGATATTACAGCAAAGTTAAAGATCTAAGTTTAGTCATAGGCCATCTGCCAAAAACTGGTTTGCAAGGTTTTGGAGCACATACACATATAGTAGAATTAATTTGTAACAGAACTTCCATTTAGAATAAAGGAAACGTACAGGAAACATCTCGGGCTAGCGCCTGATCAACCTGAAAGCAAGCATTTCTTTGATCAAGCTTCCCCTTGACAACTTCTGCATAGATCGCTTCAATTACGAGGTCTTCCAGCTCCCTTCGAGACGATAGACCGAGTTCCTCCATAAGTTCAGCATAGGGCAATGAACGGGAGTGGGCAGCCAACGAAGCGACACTCAATTGACGAAGCTTTCTTAGCTGTGCTTCCGTTAAAGGTGGATATGCAGACTCATTACCTAAGGAATAGATAAAATTAATTCGATTCATTAGCTTTTAATACGTTTAAATCTAAGTCAATATCTAATGTAATCTAATAAATTGTAATAAAAAGTAAACAGGAAATAATACTATATACATAATAAACAGGAAATAGTACCCTTTATTTAACGTCACTGTACCTTTGTAGTCCCTTAAGGTTCCATAGGCGAAAAGTTTAAGTAACTCGAGGTCTTTTGCGTATTCCGTGCCGGCCAACTGAAAGCAAATCATATGAAAAGTCACTATTCGTTTGTAAAATCTACTAAGTAAATTATTTTTGGATACACTGTGTGCTGACAGACGCATTTATAGAAATGGTACTGCTCAAAAAGGACTGCATTATTCTTTTTAATAATTTAACCTAGCGATGTTTATTGCACAGTGTTGACTTCGATCTTAAAGCTAGTTGTATTACAAAAATAGGCGATCATACACATACACATCTACACTATTCTAAGTTCAGTCATTGACATCACAAATAGATAGAACAGATCCAAAGCGTTTTGTTTAAGTTGCTTTCTATACCTGCTGCACTCTTGGCAAATCAAGCAGTTCGCCGAAAACGAGAACCCCAGGCGCTTCGAGAGCTGCTTGAACCGTGTGTGCCACCTCTGCTGATGTTGTTGCAGCCTTTATCTGTGACACCAAGGCCTCCTGGCGACATGTTCCTGTTGACGCGTTAGAGGTTCCGATCGAACGTTGACAATTGGCAGGTGGCGCTGGGTTCATCGGCACGTCCATTTTACTCGTCTAATCCTTTACACAATAACATAACATTTTGCTCAGTCAACTGATGAAAAATATATTTCTATATATTCATATGAACTGTAAATATTATAACAATTTAAAATGTTTTCAATTAACGAACTTGTAGAAAAGTCTCCATTTCCAATGTTAGAATAATTTCATCATACTGGTGTTTTGTTTCTAGTCTATCGATTAAATATTAGTTAAAATAAATTATCCGCGCAACATGCGGAATTGATTGCAATATCTGTTAAATTCCCACGCAACATAACCTGCATATCTCAAGTCTTTAAAATAAGCAGCATGTATTTTGCAACGAAATTTAGCTAAGTTAAGGAAAATGTTGTTCCGAAAGATAGTCTTAGGCAAATATTCATCACGAAAAATCTATTTGCGAGCTAAATTAGAAATTATTTGCTACGTATTCTGATGTAGAATGTGCAGAGGTAAGCGCTGAAAGCGCAAAAACATGACATTGTCTAGTGGTTAAAAAAACTAATTTTAGTCCACGGCCCGTTGGACGTAAAATGATCAACATGATTGCATTCATCAAATGATGTAGCTTTAAAAGGAGCTGCACACACATACTGTCAAGAGACGCAGAATGCAGAGTGAAGCACAGAAGTTTCACAATCCGTATGGTTAGCACGCTACGATATAAAAACACTAAAGATTCCCTGCTACACTAAACAAACAAACAAATCATGTTCTTGTGGGATGTGTCCCGTTAGCTATCGCATGAGCGGCTGTATGGGTTTTTGTTTAAAGTTCCAAGCGCGGGAATAAGAGCCTTACTGCGATTGACTTTGTATGATAATAAAATAATAAGAATTTAATGAAGTGTCAATGAAAAAGCTGTATTCCGTAAGGATTTTCAGTAATTTCTTTTTGTGCTAGCTGAACTCCATTAGCAAGCGGATGGCAGATCCGAACCTTTGGACCCAGGCACTCTAATTGTACAATCCTGCAGCTTTCAAATCTCGTTAATTTATATTATTGAAGAAGTATGTGGTGCATAGTATGCTTTTACGAACAAGGGTACCTAAAACTTATGATTGAATGTAGCGCAAGAAATAATGGAAGAAAATTTATCAGAAATAGCAATATAACGGAGAAATATTCTATTAAATGTTAAAAAAGAAGACACACCAATGTCCTAACTAGTAATTACTGAGGTGAAAAATCTAGCGTCAACTTTGTAAATCTAGGCTGCGCCCTTCTTTCTCTTTAGGTTACCTAATTAAATCTGCTGGGTTAATTTTAGGTATATACAGTGCATCTGTCACGAATTTGCCACACAACGGCACTTAATTGTGCTGTCAGCTGGGTCGACTGGATGATAACACCCCTGAGTATACGTTTTTGTCGATTATTCCGTTGATGAGGATGGTGGTTACTAAGATTAATTTATGCAGAAGGGCTGGATTCGGAAAAAACTACACGCAGACCGGTGGTCTCGATTTCCCCAAACAGGCCGTAATGGCGCACCTTGCCATTTAACTGCATTTCTCTCAATGTCGCTTTTAATTTAACTTTTGCTGCGAAACTCCTGTACCTGCATACACCCAAAGTAAATTTTTATTAACTGTTAAATTTAATCTTGTATAATTAAGCTTGATTTCTCAAGATTGAACTTGTATTACTATAGATTTTAGTCAATAACATGATTATCTGAGAGGACGCAGGTGTAAATATAAGGCTGAATGGTAGGCTTCAAGTGACAAACGTGGATGTTATATGTTCGGTATTTAAGTCGTTAAACATTACCTCATACTGCTGGCTGCCAGCATAAATATGCATGTAGTTCGTTCCTATAATTTTCCAGAGCGGACGTTTGACCACTTTAGCCGTTCCCGTCAAGCGCTGCATTTAGGCGCAAGCAATATAGTAAATTGGCGTGCGGTCTTATGCTCAGCCAACACAGGGTGCATCCATTCTTTTGGCATTCGTTTAAACGCCAACACATTGTCTAAAATTTATATTTGCATACATTTATATAAAAATTATATTTGCAACAATTGGGCGTCTATTAAAGCACTTATGCAGTTGAAGTGGGAGTTCAAACGTTGTTAGGTCACTAAAGTATACAACCCTTGTGATTATGCAGATAGGTGCTCTAATATAACTTTTGCATTTTTCGTTCCAGTTGTTCCGACAATAAAAAGGACTCGAAAAAATCAATTCATGCTTACGTAAGTGGAGAAGCTCGCTCGAGCCTAAAGCTGGGGACAGGCCGGCGGTACGTCTTCGATAGTTAGACACCTCTTGAGCCTCATGCAAATTTTACATTCAGCAAAAATTAATTTTTGTTACTTTTCTTACATAGAGAATTAGATACGAAAAAGTCAGATAATGCATCGTTGGTGTTACGTCTCCAGTGTCAAGACATTTCAGTATGGGTCTTTAATTTAGCAGTAACTTAACGAGTTGCCATCCCCCGGCGATAGAATTGGGTATTTCGTCCGTTTGCGATTTATACCAGAGTAGACCCACTATAACATCTAAGCCGAGCTCACGTAGTGATTCGGTTTAATACAGAGAATATTCACTTCTAGAGATTACCTTAAATTTATGAGAAAGCAATTCGACTTTTCTTACTCTTTTATCTACACAACTAAAATTATAGTGTTCATTTCAAACATCTGCTTTACATATGGGAAAATATTTGCTGAACTCACTTGAAAATGACCGATTACTATGAGTAACCTATGTTAGAAAAATTGTTGGTAGTACGCACCTCTAAGCCGTTGGGTACGTGATTTCATTTCATACCAGAAAAAATATTTTGTGCAGTACGACGAACAAGGGTACCTTTATACCTAGAGACTATCCACTCAGTCGTAAAATGTTACTATGTAAAAGGTGTAGCAAATAAAGTAACAGATATAATATATGTCATACGAGTATAAGCATGGAGGACTGAACGCAATTTATCGGGGAAAGAAAACCTTTTGAGCGTAAACTTAGTTGCATGTATAAAATGAGAGCAATTATGAGTAAAGATGTATTATTTATGATTTACCTTTATTCATGATTAATGATAATAATAATATATATTCGATATAAGGTGTCGTGTACAAGTGTCTGTATACATCTGCGCCCTTTTGTGTACATAGCTAGGCAGAACGCAGACGACAGCAAACGATAAAAATCTTTGCTTGAACTTACTTTACGAACTATTCTATAAGTCACTCAAAATGAATAACTACTCTTGAACATACCAAATGAAGCAAACTTGAAAATATTTCGAAATGTAGTTGAATATTACCGAAGACGTATGTTATTTGTCATTAAACAAAGTTTTTTCCATCTAACTAATTCTTAATTCAATGAAATGTAAATAGTTCATGTCATGCTAAATGTAAAATGGCTCCGCACGATTTAACTTAATTGCTATTAAGACATGCAACAGCGCTGACATCTATCGTATACTCCGAATAAAGGGCACAACACCCGAACTTTAAAATGGGGTCACTAAATTGTAAACTGAACGAAAAAGTTTTTTAAATGAAATACCAGACACGATGAGGACAGGGAAATAATGCCTATGACATTCCTAAGCCAGTTGCTAGATACAGAAGACAACTTTATTTACGCAGGTTATGTTGTAGTGTAGTTGCCGGGACTCAAAGCAGCAACTCTTCATCTCTTTCACTCGGGGGCTTGACCGTCCGAACCACCGCATCGGTAGACATAAAAGATACACAGTATGTCAGCGCCGTCAAATAGTAACTAGAGGACACCTTTTAAAGAAGAATTGCAACTTTATTTTTCTATCACATTCGTTCAAGTAGTTTCAATGGAAACAACGACTAGCACAAGACGCATAAATTTTGCTTTAAATATGTTAATCGTAATTTTCATTTCCATCTTTCAGCTCACGACAAGTCATGGCGTCTTCTCCAAAAATCCTCTTCAGATTACCTTCTCGATCCAGCTTGCTAGACTTTTGTTTAATATCGTTATAATAAGCGGTCGAACGGGCTGATCTCTCGTACAATGCTTTGCGAATCTATAACAAAATGTCGAATATTTTCGTTCACACTTTCGAAGAACTATGCGTTGAGTCGACTTAGATACCTAGTATACCTGACAGAAACAATTACTAATAAATAAATGATCACCGCTAAAACAAGCGCTTTCAAGAGACTCTGGCTAGCTTTATCACGTGTACTGATGTGATAATTGCTTTACTTGTAGTTTAACGCCTAGTATAGCAATGGTCTAACATGATTACGTTGCGAATCCGTTCCTAGTTAGTAACCTACCTGCTGTGAATGCGTCTTTACAGTGATATAATGAAATGTAGATCCTATCATACATAACCCAATGCACAAGAGGACCACGACAGAATTCGGTTGACGCCTGATACCTTTTATTCCTGTAATTATTATCAAAACATTGCATGCAGACCAGACAATGTTATGTTTCGGCCAGTCTGCTGGTCTCATAAAGTTAGTAGGTTGGTACAATTCTTCAAATTATACTTCTTATCCACCATATATCGCGTCAACACGTGTTATGATAGAGATGAGTTTCTAGAAATTCGATATATATATTCTAGCCTAATCACAGATTAACAACTGTTAGATAAACTGTGCTTTTTTTTTATCATTTATCACACCCATGCACACTCAGTACGTTTCACGGTATCTACTGCCACCTTTCCTTTTTTATACCGTAATAATTCATAGAGCCGTAATCCGATTTGCGTTCCCTATTGAATCTCTCGTTTGGACGACTGTATCTGGCGTCTCGGTAGGGATTTTCGAAGGTGAACCTTCCTTCTGGTCGATAATAGAACTTAGAATTTTCGCTAGAGGTACTCCGCGGTCCAGAACTTTTGAATGTCGAGTGTGTGCTGGCATCGTAGGCATACCTCGATGATGTTTTGGAGAGCACCTAAAAGCGAAGCGAGGTCACGCGCAAACAAGAAGTTTAGGCTTGAGAAATTTCCATCTCAGTTAGAGATCTCTAAAATGGTAGAGCAATCGTACTTCACGTCGAAAATATGGTCTTCCCAAGAATTCAGGTGGTCTAAAAGTATACGAAGAAGGGATCCAGTTAAACATTCAGATAGCTGATTATTTCCCGGATGTATTCCCATCTCTTTATCGTTATTGCTATCTAGAAGTGCATTGACGGGTACCTCATAAGCTTCTTGAAGTTGAGCAAACTTCGTCGCACATCCCCCTTTATCCGGATGATGTATCTGACAGAGACGCATATATGCCTTTCTGATATCCTTGATCGAAGACCTTGAACCCACATCTAACACCTTGAGTAAATTAAGACAAATATGTCAGCCGCAAAAGTTCACTTAATAAATAATTACCATCGAAGGTAATTGTTATGCAATAATAAGCCAATGCTATTTTATAGCATTCAACAGACCAGTTTAAATGGATGGATACGCAGTCGATAGAAGTTACAAGTTTTTCTATCTGAGCATAATGTGCTCTACTTTTCATCTCTATTTAACATTTATGTTTGTCTGTTAGTATATTTTATATACCTTAATATATTTTATATATGTTAAACAGCAATAGTACTGTAAAGTGTCGAAACAGGAAGCATTACCTTATAATAATCCGGCTTTTTGCCTTCATTGCATGAGTTGTGAAGGTGCCGCACACGTAGAATGGCCTCTGACGGTAGCTCAAAGCCATGTACCATTCTTCACTTGGTAAGTAGGCTATTTTTCTCGGAATAACATTCTACAAGTATAACAAAACACAAATTTACCCCACGGAATTTTATTTAAGTAGCAAGCTTATATTAAAATTAATCTGCTGGAAGAAGCTGTTTTTCGTGTAAACTCTTGGAAATATCGTATTAACATGTATACATATGTTTGCGACTTCAATCTGTTTCACTTTACGGTCACTTCTTCTTCGAGAGTAAATAATTCTTTTTGATAGCAGTTTTGTAATCCATGATGCTATATATATATTCAATATATATTATGTATATATATATATATATATATATATATATATATATATAATATCCAAAAAACTAAACTTGTTTAAGTTAACATATTATCTTTTCCTTAATTTTGGATACGCTACCACTAAAAGTATACCTCCTATTCGATGCTAGAAATTTGCATTGAACTTCAATGGGCACATTTGAAATAATATATTTTGCAAGCATTGCAGTTGGATTTTCCCTTGTAATAGTCCCTGTCTCTTAAAAAACTGCTTCTTCCTGTTTCATGAGAGGTGACGGATCCTGTTAGTCCTAAGTTACCGTATGGCTGCTCCGATGTGACCCTTTTGCGACACCCCACAGTATTGTCTTTTATGCAAGTATTATGCATTTTAGGAAAAAAATAATAGTCATATTTGGCCTTAGGTTAAAAAGATCTTGACTGTTGTTTTTTGAATTTTTGAAGCATTTCTATTACCACACAATATTACTTTTTACTTTCTTACACTTACAACTGCATTTTAAAACTTCAAAAAATATAGCAAATTCAAAAATTTTAAAAATTAAAAAAAATAACTATAAAGTATATATCCATTCACGCGCATTATCTGCAATTTAACACATTAAAATTACGCTACGAAACTTAATATTCCTTAGGAACTTGATGCTAATGAGTGGTAAGTTGTCGAAACGTACAGGTTTGATTTTTCGAAGATGTTTTAAGGGAATATTGGCATCAGAGTTAATCGACGACCATTATGTTCTGACTGAGCACCGTCAGCTATGCCCTTTGTAAACAATAATTCGTTCATTCAACAGGCGGGAAATACAACAAACAAACAAACAAATTTTTATTACACTAAAGATAAGACAGCCGAATGAGCGAACTATTATTGTGATCGAAAGAGCTAAAAGAATAGATAATGAAAGACAGAATAGAAGGAAATATGAATCTCAATTTCAATTGATTTCAAACATCAGTGAATTGCGCCTATACATGGCAAACTCCATGAGTCTACTGAAGACACTCAAGAGTAAATTGAACTTGACTCTACTAATTGATGTTGCCTGAAGGAACAATTTTAAGTTAAAAATATGCTTAGAAAAAATAGCTCCTTTTTTTTACTCAGCAGTTAACTGCACATATGTATATGTCCATTTATAGAGAAATGACTCAAGAAGAATGGATAGATTAATAAAAAAATATATTAAGTTGCTTTTTGGGATTTAGGTAATTTGTACGATTTATACTGTCAGTCTGTAAAGGAAAATGTACCTAAGTATACAATTTAAAGGCCGCTATAACTGCATTATCAGCTTTGTCTTTCGTCAATATCATATTTGCATTAAAGATCTTAATTGACGCATATAAGGACATACCGTACAAATTGATTCAAATATTTAGAAGAAGCATTTCTTACAGTAGAAACGCACTACCTGTTCACAACGTCACGGAACTGGTTCATACTGACAAATAACAATCGTTGTGCGAAAGGAAGTACAATTTTATGGCGTCTGCCGATAACATAATAGTAACAAGAGCAGTATTGTTACTATTTAAAACTCCTTAAGAAAACCGCTTACTTTTAGAAGGTCTAGATACCGTATAAGGTCACACCAAATTGCATGTAGTCAAAACTTCATTAACTATGGGTGTACGGCTACCGTAACCTAACTACATTGTAATTATATATTGTACTTCACACTGGTATGTACCTTGCATATGTGATGTCATAGAGGACTGGTTTATTTTTTTTTTGTTAAAACACAAGGCCAAATGCTAAAATAATAATAGGACATGAAGGAGGCATTTTATAAAACTAACGTTAATGTTTCCCTCAAACATTTAAGAGGCTTTACTGAAATGTAGGGAAGTTGCCCATTTATTTTTATGCCGATCAGAGTCTGGTCAAAGGCGCGTCCTGATATCACTGTATAGATTAGTATCCGTAATGTTAGCTAAATTTCCATTCATTAGACATGTTTTGCTTGCGTGTCACCAATGTTGAGGTAGATTCTAAAGGATTTTAAAGGTAGAACATCTGTCAACAAACCGTGTAGCTGATGCAAGCCATAACAATCATAGCAAGCTATAGTAACTATTTGAAATCATGAAAAAACAATCCCTACTCAATTTAAGAATAATTGTCCCCCTACTTGACAAATAAACACCGAACATTTTCCTTTTTAATAGAAGGTTATACATTGGTTAGTGAGTAATACATTTGTTAAGATGATTAGAACTGGTATTTATGGTACTCTATCCATTCGAATCTTGTGCATAGAGAAATCTTCATAAACTGTTTGAGGATTGCAAGTTGGAAACAAAAACGATAAGCCGAAGATGTTATCATTTTGCTTTTGTTCTATAACAGGTCGCAGATGTTGATTACTAAATTGTCTATTTATTTTGACCGTTGAACAGTTACATGCTTTTAATAGATAGAAATCGTCTGCTCAGACCATTAGAGCCGGTGACGTTTGGTGTCTCCACGCCAGATCTATCCAGGGAAATCTACGAGCCTATATACAAATATATGCGTAAAGCTATCTCGTTCTAAGATTGAGATTCAATATAGGGCAAGAATATACTTCGTGGTGGCCGGACGCCAAGCATTTTAGCCGGTGGTTAGAGACAGTACCAAGAGTAAAACACACTGCGTTTAGCTAAAGTATTCAATCTCTAATAAATGATAATACTTCACCAAGATAAGGTTAGCTGAATTGTCGAAATCTCCCACCGAATCTGACTGAATTCGAGACACAAATTCCTCTGGCACTTGAAACGGTGAATAGTCAGCCATAAGCGAACTTCACGCGTGCTTTGCTATTGGACACATTGTATCTTATCTGTGCGGAGGTAAAAGGCAGGTCATACTTACTTAATAAAGGCAATACCGAATAGCGACCAATGATTTTCTATTAGTTATAACTTGATAGCTTTTTTTTTCATACAGCTCAAGGCCAGTCTGTCATGCACGAAACGCACTCGTTCACAAAGCACAATCTGCATGCTGATGATATATATACATATATATATATATATATATAAGCGCGGACGATGCCGGTGGCTATCTTCAATATTGTTGCGGCGTTGGTTTCAAACATCGAAAATGAAGAGGGGGTCTGCTACCGTTGAACTTAATTTATATTAGGTTCTGTGGAAAAAAAAGCCTTTTCCCTAAAAAAATATTTTTCCCTCAAAAGAAGAAGTATTTGACCAGTTAGCTCTATTTTCCGCGTAAACCTCACCTGGATAATTCTCTGGCGACCCACAAAACCAACCCAGTTATACCGCTTTAAAAAATTGTATTGGTTCCAATAATGAAGCAAACAGATAGAGGTTTTTAGTGATATATGATATAGATCGAGTAAAGCCGTTAGCTGACGGTTGATTCATCAGGAAACCTCAAACGCTTGATCACCCTGTCAAACTCGTCTTGCATAAATCGTTGCCAATAATATGTTTTTTTTTTCTTTATTCACACCACTTATGTAGCGTTGTACTGTGAATTCGCTAATAATTTATTATTATTATTATTATTATTATTATTATTACTATTATGTAGTGTGTGTCTGTAGTTGACGGGACGTAAACTCCAGGCAGACACCCCTTCTACTCTTCTTTGACGATGCAGTCAGTTAAGGCCTAGAGCCTCTAGCTTATGTATCATCAAATATATAGCGTAATGGCGATACCAACAACGAGACAAGCAGAGAAAGCTATTGACAATAGTATATATAGCGGTCAGTGCACTAAAAATCGGTTAGTAATTATCTCTAGAGAAAAACACTCCTACGCGTTCTACTTTTTGTTCAGTGCGCAAATGCCTAATTGATGTGTTGCTTTCTCCGTTCTTTTTAGAACTCGGAGAAATTTTTAGCCATACTTCCGTTCCCAGTGTTACCAATATGTTTCATTTCTCCGACTAACAAAGGACGCTTTTCCTATTTGTTATTGTTCTAACTTAAGTGTTTTATTTAGCTTATACTGTAGATAGTCCTACAAGTTATTCGGTACGAAAAAACCATCATATAACTAGATCATAAAAAAGAAAACGCGTTGTTGACAAGTTCGAACGACAAGCTGTTTGTCTCGTCCTGCTTCTCGTCTTGATGTAGTGCACGAACAATACGGGTGTGTGTGTCGGTTGCCGCTCTGATGGACGTGTTCAATATCGCTTTGCCGCCAAGATATTTGTGGCAGACCTATGACAATATGTTATTTTAGCCTTCTGCCGATTCAGATACTGCCTAAACGTTTCTGGACACATGTCTTCTGTAAGCCTAGACTAAAGCCAAGAAAGCGGCCTGGCTGATCGAGGCCTACTCGAATCAGTATGACTGTTGCTTACAGTTTGCCCAGTAGTGCTGACTCAAACGTGGCTGCCTGCTGCTTCATGGTGTGCGTGGTTCTCGTGGCAGAGAGCGAAAAGTTCCCGACATTGTGGTACGCTGTGGGCAGGCGCTGCTTGCTTGCCGAGTCCGATCTCTGTGGTGCAGCGCCAAGCGGCGGCGACGGCTGCCGCTGCCGCCGCTGTAACCGAAGCAGCGGAGGCAAGGCATCTGCCTGCCATGGCGCGCCCTCTGTAGTACCGCCACCTAGTCCATAGACCGCAAACAGACTATAGACGAGTTAGTTAGCTAGCAAAAGCCAATAGGTGACGTCCGAAAATAGCCGAGAGAGAGAGATAGATAGATAGATAGAGAGAGAGAGAGAGAGAGAGGGAGGGAGGGAGAGAGAGACGCTAGGAGAAATAGGCGGTCGATAGACTTTCATAAAAGTCATTTCCGCAAAATTCATGAAGGTGAACGTGATGCAGTAAATGACTGTGTGCATAGGTGCGCGTATGCATACCTGCGTGTGTGTAACTGTCTAAAGAATCTGAATCGATTGCTTCCTGCGGTTTCTGTTGGGCCGGCTCGTGTGAAAAACCATTGAACTCCCACAGGCTGATTGTTGCTAGCAGTGCACGTTATTTAATCTGCTGACGGCTATCGAATAAAGTAGGACTACTTCTTTGATCTCATGAAGTGCCTAACGATCAAGCGCGGTTATAAATGCGTAGCCGAAATTTTGATAGTGCAAGAAGCCAGTGCGTAAAACTTAGCTGAATGGATTGTAGTAGTACAACTTAGTAGGACCAGAAGCAGAGTCCAGTGAAAATTGGCATGGAGAGCTACAGGTTGTAGTAACGATAAGTACTGCCAACAGATACACAGGATTACTACCTAATCTGCGTTCTCAAAGGGAGCCAAGATAAGATCGACGAAAGCGTGGGCGACGTAGCCAAAGTGCCCTTTCGATGCATTACTTTACTACTTACGACTTTACTGACTTGGTAAGCATGGTTAGCCGTGTTCGATGTAGGCCAAAATGAGGACTTTTTAGCCACGGACCAGTTCCTTTGACCTGCATTGGTGTATGGCATCTATGACTACTGCACCCATGGGACCGGCCAATGATGTTTTCCCTATTTATATTATAGTAAACAGTATGTGGAGGTTCAGATGCAAATCCGTAGTTTTATGCACAAGCAGTTTAAAGCAGCTGCCAATAGAGCTACCTAAGAAGTGCTGACCGTATTTATTAACACGGATAACTGGAATGATGAGTAGAGAAAGTCTTCAGTCAGTATGAGTTATAAGTTCCAATGTCTAATACCACATCAGTACACCTAGTTTACATCAAAGTATAGGACATTTCCATACACTAGATATACTGTTTAAATTTCTGCTGCTTAGAATTGGCTCCAGCATCCCTACGGCTTCGTTATTCTATTTTGTTGTTATACAACAAACTCAAAACATGTTACCTTGTATTTGGTCTTTTTTTTACCCATTTTTTTTTAATAGATTGGAGACCGTCAATTAAAGTCTAGTGAATTCATCGGCGCAGTAGGGGCAACGATGTACCCGTGCCCCATTTTTCGTTATAACAACAGTCTTATTTAGACGGGGCGTTGATAGTACGTGATTATGTAGTTTGTCCTACATGTGTCACAAACAAAACGGCAGGGTCGATAGCCAACGATCACTCAGAGGCCATCCCTCTTCTGGGCATAGTGCGATAATAATGCTGCCTATGGTGACGCTAAGTGAATCCCTGAACTTACAGAAGTACTGTTATTGGCTACTAACGCTGCTAAATACCAAGTTAATTGGCTTCCCAGTTAATTGTTTTCCATGACGCCATTTGTAATCACTTGCAAATCAGACCGGATATGGCTAGACCAGAACATTTGTTTCGGTTAGATAATAGCCTTAGAGCCCTACGATTAATTACGTTTGTCGAAATAAGAGCTGATTTGTCCCGAACAAGTTAACCTTCAGAATCACTTTGGGCTAATTCTTCGAAGACTCGCGAGAAGGACCTTCTTGGATACCTTTATGGTCTCTTCAACAAAGCTTGGTAACGGTCTCAGCAGCTTCTGTATGTAGTAAGCTTTTAAGAATTGTTATTGACTACAGATAAATGAGTTATATTGATGTATAAAGACGATATACGATGTAAGCTCATCGAAATGTAACAGTATCTTTAATGATGTTCAGCAAATCAAATCTAGAGCTGAATCGAACGTCTCCTCACTTCTAGACATAACTAAATGTCGTGCACAGATTATTTTGTCCCACGATTTGTATTGATTCGGCACGAGCGTACACATGCGGCACATGGCGGGGTCTTGCCTAATGAAGCAGTATACAAACAGTGAAAAGAACACTTGAAATTGGTAGTAGTGTGAACTAATGCTGTGTTAATTTACTGTTAAACAACTGGAAATTTCGTCTCAACAACTGTTTCACTTGCCAGACGACGCAGCCGCCTGTGAATCGATAGTAGCGATCATAATATTGCGTTTGATGCAGTTTCCGCTGAAGCCGAAATAGGCACCTCTGCAACACAGTTTTCCTTACGACAATGGCTGCATACGTTTGTTAGCTTTTGAAGCTATCGAACCGCCATATTTTGCTATTCGTTTTAATTGTATTGTATGGATGCTTCTTCCAAAAAACTATTACAGAGGGTAAAAAAATCCGTCTATTTATGGGTAAAATTACGACTCGATGCACGAAACTCAGAAATACGATGTAAGCAATTCGTGAGTCTCCAGCACGCTCGTTGGGTGGGTGTGACCCATCTGAATAGAGCTGGAGGAATAGTCTATGAATTTTAAAAAAAATTCTTTAGTGCAGGTAAATAGCACTCGTTTTATAAAATGTAGAAGACATATAATAATAATATAACGCTATAATGCTGACGATTGAACGTTAGTTGGTCGTTTGTGGGTACGCACAATGTCGAGGTGGTAGCAGTCGCAGCAGGCGTATTAGACGGGGATAGATTAAGAAAATCTAAATGCCGATTACCAATAATATCACCGAGAAAGGCCGTGTCAAGTTTCTGCGAAACTGTTATTATAACTTATTTACGTTTCCGAGCATGTCACAGTAAAGAAATTCCCAAACGTTCAATAGAAGTCATCTGGTCTACATGCGCACGTAGTGTTTGTATGAGATAAACAATGTCTAATCATTACATTTATCATATGGGGTTGTGATGGCTTTTTTTTCTTTTTTTTTTTTGAAAAACGCTCTTTAAGAGGCACTTAGTTCAGAGGCGACTCAGCAGTTGCTCTTTTTGCAACTTGAACGAGAAATTCGTCATTGTCATAATCAGCTTTCCAGTTAATACGGCACTATTAATTATCCGTTTCATCCATTTTCTATTCGTTATTCTACCGATCTTGTTTTTTGAAGAAAACCCTTAGTTAAATGTCGACCGACCCGGATGTAAAGATACGGCGGGCAGGCTCGACTGTCGATTTACATCAGCCCATCTCGACACGTGTTATTTAGCACGTGGCCTCGACCACTGCGGCGATTACCGCTATCATTATCGTCACAGCTACAGCTGCCACGATAATATTGATCCGTGTTTTTGCTTAGAAAGTCCGTTCGCTAAGACGATAATGGACTTGTAAACGTAATACCAATGAAGGGCCTCATCGGTTTTCCAGCCGATATTCGACAGCTTCACCAAAAAAATCAGCGGCCCCTCTTTGCAGAGCTCTACGAAGGCGGAGCCATCTAATCGAACGTTCAGGGGCGAACTTACAGGACGTCAAAACGTTTCTCGATATGGTGTGTCGGGTTTCTGGTGAGAAGGGCAAAGCGAAACACTTTGTACCTGCCTAGGTTGCGAGACAAACTCTTTGCAGATCAAAGTTTTTTGACCGCCTTCAGCAACTTAACCCTTATATATGAGGGTTATGTAAGATAGTGTTCGATCGGACAAGTAAGACTATCCAAGGTTATGTCAAATGTATTCCTCATTTTTTAGATATATAGAATATGGAATTGATATATGAATTTGCAGGGGCTGTCTTTTAAAAAATCAATACAGAGTTTTTTTTTTCATTGTACAACCCTGTGCTGTAGTTTCTTCAAAACCCACCTGTGTGTTTGCTTGCTTGCTAAAGCTCTTATTTGATAGTCGTCTATGTTCTTCATGTAAAATTCTGCTGTGAATGGCCGACGTTTTCGACACTTCTTCATACATAAACTCTGTCGAACCCAAATTTCCCCTGTGGATAGGCCAGGATTTCGCAGTCCTATCGTTCTAGGGCGTGTTGTATACTATCAAATGTTGCTGCAAAGTCAAGTACGGATTGTTGTCCTATTTAGTAAAAGAATTCAATTATATTGCGTTAAATTGTATATGGAGTTGTTACCATTCTTTTTACTAGCCTCAGTCTTATCTTTTCAGATAGTTCCATTTTGACATTGAATGAATCTATTATCAGTCTTTCCTTTGACCTACAGCTTATATTGATATAATTCGATACAAAGAACGAATCCATTTGTATATTAGGTAACATGATGAAAACAAAAAAAAAATGCAAAAACAAACATTCCCTCAAACGTTGCCGAAATCTGAGGTTTGAAGCTGATACGGTAATGGTACCTTTCTAGATGATTCTGTTGAGTAATACGCACACAGATGATTCTTATCGCGCACCGATTCTTGATTTTAAATATCACGTTATTTTATATGTTATTCAAATGAGACATTTTGATATTCCGCGGTTTATTTTCTATTATGTTTGAGGTGCGACGACAATGAAACTTAATTCATTTCGGAGGAACAAACGGCAAACGCGTATTATCGTTTTTCACGTTAGGGAAGCAACGATGCGCACGTATTTACGGCATCGTCAGAACTGCTATTGCCTTGAAAAGACACGATGCCATTATTTTCAAACGAATAGAGTGCACTTCGCCGTAATCTAGGAATGGGTTTTGACAAGTCACTGGGTCTGAAAGACACTCTCTCGATTTTGTCTCGCTTCCTCAGGTAAAATGTTGTCGCGAGAGTCGGTTGCTAACGCAATAGGAAGTGCTGGCATCAGGTGCGTTAGAAGTCTTATGGAGTATGCTGTGATTCCGGCCAATACCGCTCCCAGTAACGCTTGAAGAGCTACTCTGCCCGGGCTCGATGTAGAGCTTCTAATATAACATAGAGGGACTGGGCCAATGTGCGGATGAAGGTACGTCATAGTATGAGTGATTAAGGTCCCGCCTCGTAGCCCAGCCAAGGTAGTGTTCTTATGCATGCATTCGCAGCATGTGGGCGTCCCATTATAATCCCAGAGCTGAAAATGGAAGGAACCACGGGCTGCTGGCTCCGCTGAACAGTACATAGGATGCTTTCAGTGTTACTATTGAGGATCTGTTTACAAGTCTGGCGGGCGAAAGATTTTGATACTGTCGTCGTTTTTATGGCATTCGATGGCGTCCAGCTAGTCCATTGAAGTGAAATGGATTTTAAATCGGCCAACTCAGCTTTCTACTAGCTTATCGGCTTTGTATCGTTTCGAATTTTGCTGTTACTGGATAAAGTTTGTTGCACTGGGTACCGAGCATTGCTTAGTATTCGGCTGCTATCTTAGTCCTTACCTTCAGCGAAAATCTATGCCTAGATATGTTATTAGAATGTTTGTGAAAAAGAAACATTTGCTTGCTACGCATTGTATAAACAAAAGCGGAAAAATTATCATAACATGTCCTAAATGACGCCTGTGGGAGAGTTATACAGATTAAACCGAACAAATGTACCTTCATTTGAATTATCTTAAATAAATTCCGCGAAGTATGTTTAGAGTAATTGTTCTCATACGCGTATCTGCTCAAGAACTTTGCCTTTTTTCTGCTGGTCCAAGAAACCTACCCGACATGTCCGAGCAACCTTCCTTTTCAGATTCTTCGTAATGTCATCGATCGAACATAGAATATTTTATATTCATTGACTCAGAAGTAGCAACAACTGTATCACTACCAGCCAAATGTCCATTATTATTTATTTCTGTGAGTGGGTAGTTGGAACTCTATGCCCACCCTTCTCGCGGCATTTATCCTATTAGAAATCTATCGTTCCGCCAGCTGCTATCGATTACTCAGTCTTCTTGAAGCTGTATAGGTGTAGTATAGTGCTTTTTTTCCAAGTCCACCATTTTACACGTTCTTTCCAATAACGTAATTTAGCTTTGGTCGCCTCTTTGCATATTACGGTGACATCCACGCTCTCCAACAACCGGTTTCGTCGTCTCCGGCAACGTAATTCGCCTATATCATCGCTGGTAACGGTCAGCGGTGGCCCATCACTGCTGTTGTCGTACTGCACACAGTACGGCTGTAAGGCAAATTCACGTAACGCAAACTGGAGACAAGCTCGTTGCCTAGAGGGTTACTAGCAAGGGAGAACCCGTGTTTTGATCTGGCCTATAGGCGACGTCTACGCCGCAATGGCCTCCGTTATTTTTGCGTTGGCGTGCGGGAATACACTGTCGTGTGGTTGTTTTTTGGTGCTCGCGGCTGTTGTCCTGCCGTTTACGTTTCATATTTGCCGCGTTCTTTTCGTTGCTGATTTCAGCCTGGCATTAGATATTCTAACTCATCAATAGTTTTGTTATGTCAGCACTTTGTCTGGCTGAACATTGTTGCTGTACGCCACCACGCAAGTTGACTAGATAATTAGAAGCTTAGTGGACTGATACACGGCTCGTTCCTAGTAAATTAGGCCTCAACGGTAGCTCAATGGTGAGCATAATGTCGCCATACCAATTTCGGCACGTCACACAGTGGCCAACAACGGTAAAAACGTCTTTATGAGAGTTCTTCCCTCTGACGTCCTATCATCGTTGCTACTGCCGCAGAAAACATCTCTTAGTAGATCGCGGACGTGGTGCGCGGTACTATCTACATGGAAAGACAAAAAATTATCTTCGCGTTTTACAGGATTCGAGCCTACGCGTCGAGTTGACGTCCCGAAGATCTTGAGATAATTGCGTTACATAAAAGTGCCTTTTGTTTGCCGACCATATGTTGCTGAAAGCTTTGCTAGAAGACACGGATTAGTTGTTGAGCTGTGTACTCTTTACTTGATTCCTCTGGTTCGTTTCATCTTCTGTACGAAGTCAGCAAGCATCCGTTGGTGGCAATGGTCTGACGTTACGTGGCCATCCTGGTCTGTGGCAAAATGTAGCGTTAGGGACCTTCACTCTTGCCGATACGTCGTTCTTTCTCTACGACTTTCCACACCCGTTCATTTCTCTCACTTTCGTGGATCTCGTCCAGCGATGGCCACATAGTTGTTGGTCGCTTCTTATTATGTTGCTATGGTGATAGCGGTGCGGAAGCGAGAAATAAAAGATTGGCTGTTTGTGTTCTGGCTGCTGGGTGCAGCTGCCGTCGCTGCTGCTGCTGCTACTGCTGCTGCTGCTGCTGCTAGTGATTAGCTACGTATCTGTGCGTTACATTGAACAACAATCTGTGCCGGTATCCTCACGTGCATAGCGGCGGCTTTCTTCAATTGTGCATTCCATGTATGTGATAAAGATGTTCATGTAGTACATACACACTTTTGGTAGCTTTTAGTGCGTCAGTGTATGATCATTGTATGCATCTGGCCGCGTCTATTGGTCATTGGGTCGCTAGCTTTTTGTCATAGCCGGGTCGACCGGTTTTTGTTCTACTGCCGGTTCCATCTCAGTCTTCAGCACAGGTGCGCCTATAAAAACAGAACGAGGTTAGGAAGTCCACTGGTATTACGAGCCAATCATGGTTATTCGTCTGAGATATAATGGACGAACTATCAGGTTTAGCTCGTACCAAGTCGAGGTAGCGAGTATTTCGGGGGTGTGCTAAATGTGGACGAAGTGCGATTAAGAGTAAGCCGCCGTCCATGCCCTGGCATATTTTACCTGTAGCTTCGATGAAAGAGAGACAGTTGACGAAAATCCGCGTTCAAGCGGAACACGGATTCTCGTCTAATCTTTCATCTCAATTCTCTAAGCAAAATATTAATTTCTACTACACGTTTGGTGTTTCATCGTGTCCTACGATGTTTCAGATACCGATACCCCATTAAATTTCGCCATGCCGCATCCCAAGCGATTCTCCGAGGAGCTCTATTTGCCTGAGCGCGTATTGTAGCAACGCGCCCCCTATCATCGCCCACGAATGTGGCTTTTCATCGTCTGGAAGAAGACTGGGCGCGGAAGACCACAACGGAGCGTTTGATTTTACTTCAGATTCATTATACTCTTAATTTACGTTGATCGGTCAGAACCTCGCGATCTAGTCCGCTTTACAATGATTGAGTCGTCTGCAGACTTTTCGACTGAGGTACTTTGGATCGTCGTCCTTGGCTTTATCGTTTCCTTTTTCCTGGCGTTTGGAGTTGGTGCTAATGATGTAGCTAACTCATTCGGTACTTCTGTGGGTGCTAAGGTCCTGACCCTGCGTCAGGCGTGCATTTTAGCTACTATCTGCGAGACAGCGGGAGCTATTCTTATCGGCTATAAGGTTGGTATTGTCTTGTTAAAATAGAATTAATCGATTTCTGGAATTTATTAAGCGAAGTGATGAACTATGAAGTTCTGTCTTAATCGGCTGTCCCTATGGGGACAAACAGCCGACGAGCCAACAGTTTTGTTTGCATTGTAGTTTTGTAATCCCGCTCTATTTTTTTCTGTCGTGATTGCAGGTATCGGATACAGTTAGAAAAGGCATATTTGATGTGGAGATGTATGCGGATGATTCAAAAAATCTAATGCTAGGGAATCTAGCCGCGTTGTTTGGTTCTGCATGTTGGACTATTCTCGCGACGTCTCTATCACTGCCCATCTCCGGAACGCATTCGATTGTCGGTGCCGTTGTGGGTTTTTCACTCGTAGCCAAAGGTCTGAATGGTATCAACTGGTCAGGTCTAGGTAAAATCGTCGTTTCGTGGTTCGTATCACCGCTCCTGTCAGGGGTTTTTTCCGCATTAATCTTTTACTCGATCAAAGAGCTCATCCTCAACAAGCGAAACCTACTCGACTGTGGACTCAGGTCGCTGCCAGCTTTTTATGCGTTTACCGTATTTATTAATGTGTTCTCCGTTCTTCATGACGGGCCACGGGTGTTACATTTCCATTTAATTCCACTCTGGGCTGTATGCACACTGTCCGTAACAACAGCGGTAATTGTCGCATTGTGTATATGGTGCTTCTTCGTCCCGTATTTAAGGGCCAATATCGTCAGCAAGATCGTTTCACCCGTACCTGGTTCGGATAAAAACGGCTCAGCCGTGAAGGAATCAATCTGTCTAGAGGCTGTAGCTAGCCTCGACCATAACCAAGAGACGATTACTTCTATTAATTCTTTACAGTCGACTTGCTCTTCGACAGTGAATACGCCAATTAAAACCTACGGAAGTAGGCCACCACTACCATTTGTTACGCAGGTCAGCTTGAGTCCAGAAGGGGTAGATAGACAGAATATGCGCAGGAAACGTTGCCATACGGGTTGTGATCGTTGCAAGCGGCGCTCGTTGGCGAGCCTCGAAGTTGCCATTCTCGAGAGCAAACCCCGACCCGGCCGCCCAGAAGAACCGCTTAAACCTGAAGAGCCTCCTGAAGCAGTAGAACTTTTCTCATTTCTTCAGGTCTTAACCGCCATATTTGGGTCCTTTGCGCACGGTGGAAACGACGTGTCAAATGCAATCGGTCCCCTTGTCGCTCTATTCATAATCTACAACGAGGGTTCAGTTGCCCAAAAGGCTGAAACACCTATATGGATTTTACTCTATGGTGGAATTGGAATCAGCATTGGATTATGGGTTTGGGGCCGTAAGGTCATTCAAACAATTGGAGAGGACTTGACAAAGGCAAGTTATGTTATATTATGTAACTTATAATTCACCATTAACAAATTTGGTTAACTGCATTAGCAGTTGTTAGATCCCAGTTAACTGTATGAGACTCTATACGCACAGGACTTTGACATCTGCGACCACTTGCGAAGTTAAAGCCGTAGGTCCTAAGGTCTTTTGCCACTTATTTTTCAAGTCAGTGTTTCGTGAATATTGATTGATTTGCTTAGTGTCATCGATTTATATGTAGTTTAGATTGATTTGAAAAAAGAGACGCCCGTATGCTTGAGATTTTGCATCTAGCCAGCTTATTTTTTGGATGAAAAAATAATAGCAAATTATGCGTTTTTACACTCTATCTCGAACTCTATTTTACAGGTTACGCCTTCTAATGGTTTCTCAATCGAGATTGGTGCTGCTTTTACAGTACTTCTGGCATCCAAAATTGGTATTCCCATATCAACAACGCACTGCAAGGTATATTTTTAATCTCTTGAACGGCAGACATCGCAAGACGCTTTTTGCATGTCGCCTGCATTGGTATTGACATGCCGAATGACAGGGCATACTGCATAAAATCGCGAGCGATTCAGAAGGCACGATAAAGCTAAGCCTATAACCTTTGATTTTCGTCGATTGTTTAGCAGACACTCCTTTAATAGGACTTTAACCTCTCATCATGTACACCAAGGGACAAAGTATACATAGGCCAAGCCGGCCTCTCTTGAACACTGGCACGCGTCACTGAATACCTATGGATGGCCAGAAATAAACCGATAGATATTGTTCGAAAACATCTTGTTAAGATACAGTCATCAGCGTGTTGTTTCCAGCTACAAACCAGATTTTAGGCAATTGTTACTGTTTTTTGTTTTCTGAGCCGATCAGGCATCTGTTTGCTGGCCGCTTTGTGTCAGACCATGCCCCTTCATTTAAAGGATGTGTGTTAGCTGGTCGAGTTTACTGGTTCAGTGAATAGGTCTGCTTGCCGTGTTCTTTTAAATTTTGCTAGACCCTAGGATGGAACAACTTTGAAGGAACAAGTTGGATATGGCTATAGCGCACGCTAGCTGAACGACTTACTAATTTTTCTTTTGCTTGTGTGTTTATCTTTCATTTGCTAGCTAGGAATGGCGTTAACAGATGCAAGGTAACCTTACCTAATGAATATTTTTCTGCTGTTGTTCTAACTTGTCGTGTTTCAGGTGGGTTCGATCGTGTTTGTGGGCTGGGTGAAATCTGCAAGCGCTGTAGACTGGCGGTTATTTCGTGGCATCGTAGCTGCCTGGGTGTTTACTCTACCCATCGCCGGAGGGCTCAGTGCTGCCATAATGGCTTTACTCATGCACGTCACCTAAATTTCACCACAATCTGTACTTACCGCTTGTTTCGTCCAAATCTGACTTCAGTGCAAAAATGCCACTCGTGTTTACTATAATAAAAAAGAAACACGTTTATTAGATTCGTTGAGGGCTGTAGGCTTTCATGCAGATCTCGGTAAAAATTGTTGTTCTAATATCAATTGGCCGCGCAGGGTGTCTAAAGCATAATCCGGGCTTTCTAAAAGCATTTGCAGTACACATTGATAGCCTCACTATATGGACTAACAAAAACAAACGCGAGTCTTCGAAAGTGCGATAATTAACATTGGACAATGCAGAAATATACAATCAATAATTACTAGATTCAGATCAGAGTTATCCTGCGTATCGAGGCGAAGTGTCCACCTATAAAAAAAAAGGAGGGCAATAGGGGAAGCGAAGATCAACTGACCAACCCAGACCAATTATGTTCTAGATAGAATACATAATGGCATAAATGTTACTTACTGAAACGCAACAGGACCGAACCGGTAAACGCTGTAATGGAGCTGTTTGTCAGAGGCAGGTTTGGGAGTCACGACGCTACACGTCAGTACCACGTAGGGTTTACGACTGTTGCGACTCATACGTATTATTTTATGTACTCATAAGAAAGACCATATATGTAACAGATCGCATCAGTAATATAGTTGTATTGTGAGGCTTCCCGTTTCTGGTGCTGAGTGTGTGGTGGCATTGGCCCGATAGGATCAACAGTCGACCGAAGATAATTACAGCGATAGCAACCGCCTTCTTATGACGGATATTTTTTTTTATGTAAATAGCTTTAGAAGGCAGAATGAGCCTTATTATCACGTATTTTACAGAACAACAAGGATCTGGCGGCAGCCGAGGAGGCTCGCGTCCACATACATGCTTTGGTGTATTTGGCCGGCTCTATTCAACAAAAAAAGAAAAATTATTTCGTACATTAACTTTTATGTCATTTCACGTTACCATCTTCCGATCCTGGATCGGTAATAATTGTGTGCTAATCCTAAATACTAAATAATACAGCTGTTCGTTCGTAAAGTTATAGATGCAAGTACCATAAACATTTAAGTATTTTACCTTATAAAATTCATTTTATATTATCAATTAACTCTCAAGGAAATTCTAAATTGAGCCCGAAAAGAACTGTGTGTGTATGTGTCGGTATAGGACAATGCGTTATTACCGTAAAATAAACAGGTCACTGAGTTGATCGGTTGAAATGTGGCATTTTTTCATTTGTTTACTTTATTATTATTATGTAAGCTTCGGTGAGTTAAAGGCCAGTGCTTTTTTCCTCCAGCTCTGCTATCACCGACCAGCGGGCAGCCATGCACTGTGTATGTGTGCCTTTGAACGTCAATACTGGTACAGAGCTGACTAGCGAAGCGGGGCTGAAACATAGGCTGACTGACCAACCGGTTACTGCTATATATAGTGGTTCATCATCAGTCTCGACCACTACTCGGATAGTCATCACATATTTGTTATTACTGAAAGGTTATGCCAACTCGCCCTATACTGTTTCATTCGGATATGATAGAGACCGCAGTAGATGATTTTATCCACGGTTATCGTGTCTATTATTTTCCATTCTAAGTAACAGCCGATTAGAATGTATAGCAAAAATTTCCTATAGTTGGCCCACTCGAGTGAGATGTTGCCGTCGCCATCGTACAGAGGATATTTGAGACACGTTAAGATCCCTTAACCTCCCGCTAGACGTAGCGATGTCTGCCCGAACGCGTATGTACGCCTCTAGCGCTGAGTACAATGCGAGGGCGTAGGCCGAGAAGATCGTGTGATTTCAAATTTGAGCTTGCTGGATTCTGCCGTAATCGTTATGTAAGAGACACGCCATAGCCTTCTCTCCTTTACGTAAAGCGTTTTTCTTGGAAGCAATGCAGTCCGATGCTAGAGAGAAGTGACCTATATGGATAACATTGAAAAGCAAGAATCTTTTACAAATCGACATCGTAGAATGTTATTTAATTTTTGGGCAACAATATCACCAAACGTAGAAGCTGGTAGACACGCTTACGTGGCCGATCGTTTCCATCACTCAGTAGACCCAGTATCTTCTCGGTAACTTCAAAATGGGTATTTCTCGACTATACGTTTTATTGAAGAATACATGTGCTAGGTGCGAATGAAGGCTGCTTCCTGTTTTGCCGAAGCGTGTCAGAGCAAATCATGTAGATTCTTAAACAATACCACATCGCATGCGGCGACCACCAAGACATAAATTATTTGACAGCTTACAACGATTACTTAATTATGCTTTAGTTAAATAAAAGGTCGACGAGCAAATGGACTAGTAGGATGTTCTATTACTCCACTCGCTGGGAGCGAGGACCCCCGGGTGGTATTTAGTAATTTTTTCGACGTTGCTACATTAAATTTATGACTTGGTGTATGTCTACATTTAACTAACATAAATATCGTCATACATTTCGTCCGTTACATAGCTATGGTATATCATACCTGAAACCGCAGACGGACCGCGAGAATATTCTAGAGAATTTGGCTTGGGTCAAGTACCGTGCGACAAAGTATACATACGTAGCTAAGCCGGCCTCTCCTGAGCAGTGGTACGCGTCACTGGACACCTGTGGATGGCCAAAAATAAAGGCCATAAATAAACAAAAAGTTAATAAAATATTTTTTTAAGCTAAACACACAGTGATAAGAAGTAAGTACATTTAAGGACACGGTCGTATTGATGTTAAAATTTAACTATATATTGAAAGGGTACGAAGCCTAAGCTGGTAGTATAAAGGATTAATGAACAACATAACGACTGAATATAACGGTAATTATGAGAAACGTAATTACGTAACGGCTGCAAAAAACCACCTCATTCGTTACAGGAAATCAGAAAAAGTACAGCTGCTATATCTGCTTTCTAAACGATCTTAGATGTAAATTTCATTATATCAGACTGTCGTATGAATCATATTTTGCCCGAACAACTTCAATTAATAACATATTGAACGTTACTAGCGATGAGCCTGGTCCATTCTTCGGTCACATTTCTGCCAGGATGTATTTTTTAAATTTCCTAAAAATAAAAAGCTCATCCCTTCAGGGATGCGAAGAAGTGATGACCGTAAGGGGCAAGGTCTGGACTAGAAGCTGGCTGAGGCATAGTATTCCAATTGAGCTCCGTCAGTTTTTGGCCGAACCACTAAAAACGTGCGAAGCTGGGTGTTTTCATGACAAGCCATAACTCTTCCTTTATGCATGAGAGCGATAAACGGTCAGTAAACGGTTTATGCCGAAATAAGCAACCTGCTTACTTCAACTTAAGTTTTGGGCCAAGGTAAACGATTTGGTCGTACGAGGGAGGAGCACAGTATTGTCATCCTTGGATAAGGTCCGCTTCAAGGACGCTTTAACCATGACCTGCCCTGAGTAACATTATTGTAGATTATCCACTTTTCATCACTCGTCGCCGTCTACAAGAAAACGGTTGATCTTATCCAATTTTGGAAGGTGTCCCGTTTCGCACATATGGTCCATCGATTCGCGACGTACAGGAAACCCAGACGTCTGCTCAACTAACACGATCGCTGCTTGCTCTATAGCTCTGAGCAGCGGTGTTAGATGCTCCCGTGTTTTTTGCAGTCTGGCGAAAGCTCATACGTGGATTATGATCGAACACAATGAAACTATATATTGATGTCTCGACAGTCAAAGGATCGACCTGCATATGCCTCATCTTTGATGTTGATGTCACTGCTCGCGAAACGATCAAACTATTCCGTGACCGAGTCGGCTATAATAGTGGGTTTTTCGCACGAGTTTGGGTCGCATTTAGCTTTTTTTAGAAACAAACCATCAAAACCGATCCTACTATATACTATCTTCTAAGCTCTTAACTAAACGCGCCTTTTAAAATTTCCAGGTTTACTCTCCGAGTGAAAATTATGTGATTTTAAGCAGTCCCTAAAGATTTCATACTAAAGTTGAGGTTTCCGTTATTTTGTGGCAAACAAAGATCGATCTAGACCTCGACTCGATGCTGGGAATCTGATCTCTTTATTCTACTATGCCGTCACATTATAAAAACGATCTAATTAAACATATAGACGTGAAGCGAAGGCCGTGTTTCGTGACCTTCCTCAAGATTTTCCTATTAGCTTCAAGTTGGCATTTACAAACGTTTAAGCGTTCTGCTATCGCCCTGGTAGTGCTTGCTGTAATTGTCTGTCTTGTTGTGGCTAAGCGTGTATATGTAATAATTCATCTCGCTCGTATCTTCATTTGTTATTTACGTGTGTAAGAACAGCATGTTCGTATAATCTATGCCTGCCGATCTCTTCGTACCATCGTTGTATTGGGTGTCCTCTTTTGTTGCCACCACCACGCCTTGAAAATGGCTCGAAATGACGGCTTGTCTTTTCTAGAGTTGCTTTCGCTCCTACGGGTACCGTTGCCGCCTTGTTGAGACAATAATTCGAACAACGCATGACGCTGTTACCAAAAACCGTATCGGCGCAGTATAAGAATTCCCTACTAGCAACCCGAAGCTCTGAGGGTCAGTAACTCTGTGGATCGGTATGGACAAGATGTGACATTGATGCTGTTGTTGTTTGACGATCGACATGTTACGGTCGCGCGTCTGGCTCTATGACGTGTGACTTCACTGTGTGTACGGTAACGCCGCCGTACTGCAGGAGCAGAAGCATCAACGAATGTAGTCTCTATTGCAACTGCCTCGTTTTACCAGTCGTGTGCGAGCCTACCAATCTCTACCTGCGCCTGGCAGGCGTGCTAGATTATACAACTCGCTGCCCCATGCTTCTTTGTTTCTATACGGGGCTGTATAGCAAAAGAAAAAAAGCAACATCGAAAAATTCGCTTGACAACTATGTTATACGAAACCTAATGCTGTGCGAGGTAGACATCATACATATACACACATACATATAGGCTAGGCGGAGAATTGTGTAAAATTGACGTATGTTGCTTTTCAGCCCGTGCACGTATCTGCCTGGTAGTAGTAACGATAACTGATGGAACACGACAGAGGTCGTGGCCTTGTTATATCAGCATCGGTGTACGATACCCAAAGCGCAACGATGGTGATAATCTTTAGAGAACCGTTTTCAAGCGGACCGATCAGGATCAAAACGGCTCCTTCGCAATTTTTCTACAGGGGGCGCCCACGAAGGGTATTTATTCTGCGAAAAGGTCGTCGCGTGCTTAAGCAGACCTTCGAAAATTTGATGCGGTCGTCTGGCTACTAGCACATACAAGTGAAATAACAAAAATATAAGTTCTGTGCTTTGTAAAATGCATTCGCAAAAAGTATAATAGAAATATACTAAATCGTACAATATAGACGTACATAAAACACAACTGAATAAGAACAAAAATGCTGTTCTTACCAAAGATTTGAAGTTTAAGCCAGCTAGTTGAGCTACTGATTCTCCTATTCAAAACCGACGTTTTGCGATATATGATTTAAGATATTTAATATAATAAAGTATTTCTATTTTTGTGTAGATAGCGGATCTAAGGTAGACGAGCCTAATTTCGCTGCGCCAACATACAGCTTGAGCGGTGAGAAAAAAAAATACATTGCCTTTGCATGATAAATCATAACAAATGATTACTATCATTACGTCATTGAGTCCTACTCTCATTTGTCCGGACAAAGACGTTACAAAGAATACCGTACGTATTTTTGTATTTCCGTCAACATCTGTGCGATCTCAGATATGTTATGATAGATATGTTATCGAAGGCGATTCTTTGCTATAACGAAAAGGTAAAATATGAGATTAGAATGCCAAAACCTGTTTTCACGGACAAACTAATTTCTTACAGAAACGTAATGGTTTTGCTTTTTTAGAGATAGTTACGATAGGTTTTCTTTCTGAAGCAGTTTCACAGAATCTTCAGCTTGTTCTGTATTATGTTTTATAGACAAGAAGCAGAGTAAACCATGATATGCCAAATCTGAGCAGTTCATTGTATTGGATTCAATATATAAATTAATTGTAAAATTCACGCTTTGCTGACGGCTTTTTTGATCTTTAAAGCTCGTACTGTTACCAGCTGAGCTGAATCAAGATTGTAAGGTTATCTGTTGCGTGTAGTGCTGAAAACTGTGCATTGTCGCTTAGCTAAAAAAACGACAGTGAAAAACCTTATCTCTCGCCTTCTCATAATAAAACCAATGTTTTAAACACTTCGAACATTTCAACTTCCAGTTATTACTTCTTGTTACCAGTAATTTGCAAATGAATGTTGCCAAATTCCACTTTCCGACGCAGTCTCTGCGCTCATAAGCAACAAAGCATGCCCTGCACAAGCATAAGCTGAGCGACTTCCCAAACTGAGTTCGCTATTTGATGTGTTTTTATTGTCGCTTCATGATGAATGACACTTCAACGATTCTCTGTTCAGACATTCAGCACGCCAGCAGACGGGGCCGACGATGCGGGGCTGAAACCCCGGTTGGGGTTAACGCGACAGCCAGCATCGCTGTGGACCGCACTGGGCCTCAAGATCCCGACAGCCGAGTCTCGAGATCCGCTACACTCTCTTTAAATCAACAAAGTCAAACTTTTTTGATGCGTCGGGTCCTTCTGCCAGACAGTCTTGTAGTACAGATATTAACTTCACATATGGATTATCCTCTGCTGCTGTACTAATAATAATAATGGAAAAAGAACACCGATTGTGTCGTTCGAAGTATGTTTGCTAGAAACACTAAAGGCAAATTTTAACCACACAGAATCCCTTTGCTGGTTCCTGCTTGAAAAATTCCTCAGTAAATCTGAGCTCTTCTTCCCAAAAGCTATGTGCAAGCTTGTTTTTGATCCCCTGTTACATCTCGTTCTCTGCCGTTCCACAATCGTATTGCAACAATGCAGCTTCTCTGCGTTACTCCAAACTGTATTCTCTTGATTTGCTACGGCAAAGATGTTCCCCGCTTCGTTCGTCCTACACATTATAGCTTCCACCAAGTCACGCTATTTCACCGATTCCATCACTGCCACCAATTTGTATTTCTAATTCCGATTCTAGCTTTCATCTTTTGTTAGGCAAAACTGACTTTGTCGAGCTGTACGCCACGTCCTGAAGAATTAAAAAAAAAAAAAACTAGTTATTATAATATTTCATATTTTACATCTGGTACTTTAACCATTAGGCATCGCTTTGGACGATTGACTCTCGGCACACCACGGGGTGTTTTCCGGGGGGTGCCGAATCCGAACCCAGACCACTAATCGTAGATATCGGTTTGACTGTATATATACACATATATTACCAAGCAGATCAGCACAACTGTCGGTTCATACACCATGATCGATGCACGGAGGCGGCAAGCATAAGAATTATAAAATCGGCTTTTCCGTCTCGACAGTGCCGGTACTGTCGGAGTCTGTTACAATAGACAACCCTGCAGATTGATCTGCCCACTCTACTAAAACAGCACCAGCAATTGATCTTCCCTTTCGGAGATGGGTGTCCGTTTTCTGTGGTATATAAAAATTTAGGTAAGCCAGCCTCCTTCGCATGAAAGCGTTACTGCAACTCCTCCTCAAGGCTTTTTCACGTCTCCCGAGCACAGATCTTCAACTGATGTATATATATACACACACTAGAAAAGAATATAGTATATAAAATATAGCAAGCTAAAACGAAGCCTTTTTTTGCGATTGGCGACGCTTTACTCACGATCTGGTCCACAAATTTACTCCGCAAACGCTCGTACACCTTCTGATCCTCAATTTATCGCATGGGCTGTTTTTCATCGAACGCTACAGTAAGACTCTTCATGAGCCGTTGTATTAATTCTACCATTTCGATCATATCGACAGGCGTCGCACAACAGCTTCTACCGCTAAAGCGGATCGATTTGGCTTTATCGTTTGCTCTTTGTCTCTCTCTATAAGCAGGATACCTTGCCTCTTAATTAACTATTTGCCTTATTTTCTTCACAAGAACACGTAGGATCTGTCTGAGGCTATTTGCTTTGCCTACTGATGTATAGGATTGCAGTGCTCGGCGTCCGCAAAGACACTCAACGGCGTTTCGCCCGACATAAAGTTAGCTCAACTTCAATCTTCAAAATAAATGAGATCATGTTATGTCCATCTATTTTTACCATGATGTAAGTGACTCGATGATGTCGAGCTGACGGCCGTCGGATTCTGCTTCAGGGTTGTCAGTTTCTTCAATCTATTATTTTTCTTAGTCATCACACTTGTTCGTAGTTTGACACCAAACCCATTTCCCCTTTACTTTTCCAGCCTATCAATCGATATACCGCCAAAAAGGTCGATACTCAACTTACACACTTATCCCGGTCGGGAACGACTAGAAGACAATTTTTACAAGTCTGCAAATTGCAATTGTGCATTCCGGAAGCAATACAGCCGATGCAGCGGCTATTGCCTTCTCTGAGGAAGATCTGCAGAGAATGCGTTCGTATGTACAAAGTAGGGAAAAGTGGGGACTTTGTAGGGCGGAAGTCTGTGCGCGCAGGAGGACGAAGCCGGCCAACTCCGCAGGCTCCTGGCGCGGGCATCGCAGGCCACGGGCGGATATTAGCTCATTGGAAGGCCGTATCTGTTGGCGTCCTGCTGCTGCAACGTCAGGACAACCTGTGGATTCGCGCATGCGCGATGATCCTCACTTGGTGGCTTAGTAACAGCGACACAGCGTTCCTCTAGCTTCCCTTCCCTCGATAACTGGGCTCACTTGCACGATCTTCCGTGCAGGCCCCGTGGGATAATGTCAGTCGATGGAGCATTGGGAAATGATCCCGGTGACGCAAAGGGAAGAGAAAGAGTAGGTGTAAGAGGAGGACTGGGGTAAGATCACTGTTCGGGTGACGGCCATCTTGTTCTGCTAGCCGATGCGCAGAGGGAGCCGGTGGCACCCGCTGTGGTAAAAGTAACGGCAACAGTGCCAGCAATTGTGGTGACTAGTGTTGATTGGTACGGGCAGCAGATAAGTGCACGAGCGCCCATTGCAGGATCCCACAGAGCAAGCACGGTACGTGCAGAAAGCCCAATGGGTCAAGCGCTAGTTCGTCGTTGAAAAACGCTATTTCCGCTTGATCACTTTTTCATTGAAAAAGTATTGTATTTCATCGTACGATATAACTGTATTTTCGGGGAATAGGAGGTCCGAGGCCGAAAGACGTCCTTGATAATCGACAGGGAAGCGAGTTTCTCAGAATAAAGGTACGTGAGAGTCAAACATGTGAAATCATACGGATGGTAAGTGCTGGCGAAGAGAAATCTCATTGCCAATTGGGTTGATACAGTTGATCGAACGGCTGGATTAGGCTTCATGCATACGTCAGCAATAACGCTGAGAACCTGTGTGACCGCAAAGCTGAATCGAACAGTGTAAGCACCTAAATATACCTGCCAATGCGCAAGATTATCATATTCTTTTTTTTTCTTAAATATTTCCTTATCTATTCATCTTGTTTACAGGAATTATTATTTATGTCCGATTCTTATTTGAGACAAGTAAACCCTACGACCGCATCGGTTTTAAGGAAACTGAGATTAAACAAGAGCCCCAGACGGCGTTGGCATTACATTTGCAATATCTTATACATTTTAGTGACTCTAAATGGCATTTTTTTATTCATTTTAATACTACGGGTACAGAGTGGCGACGGGTCATCAATAATAACTCTGCATACGAGATCATTTGGTCATTCCTAAAGGGATACCTAGAAAGATGAGAGACTCGTAGCATATATAAAGACTTGATGCGCGAACGGACCTTGATAATCCGAATGGCATAACGTTGGATCTCCTATGCCATATTCAAATTCTACCTGTCGGAGAATTATAATGGCGTACATAATGATCTGTTCAGAGGTACGTGTTGGAAAAGACAGCTGGCCCAAAATTTTGACAGCGAAGTAATATTTTTGCCATAGTTGAAAAAAACACTAATCTAGTCCAAGCTTTGTTCTTATTATATATTTTTATTACAGCAGATTGTGTCAAGCCGAGACATTTTGTGGATGAACTTAACTACGCGACTGTACTATCGATGCTAATTAAGTCGCTCAGTATCTCTGTGAGGCATTGAGGAGAAATGGGGCACGTTTCCTCTGCAAAAACGGTTTCAACATTAGCTCATTTAGCATGAGCTAGCTCATTTAGCATGAGCTAGCTCATTTTTAAAGTCCTAAATGCTTGCGTTAGGCGATGAGTGGCGAATCTGCCTTATAAGAGTGAAATGGTCGGCCAAACAGGCAGTGTGCAATCTATTTTCATGGGGCTCTATGTGGAAAAACAGCACATTCATATAAATAGGATATATAAATCGGCTCCAAATTGAACCCCAAGAAGCCCCACACGTTGTCACATTTGGAGCCACACTACCGATGTGCTCAGGTATGAAACGATTGGGTAAATGAATCGCAAATGATAGCAGAAAAGTCGTAGCATGAAATAACTTCTAGAAGATATTGTCCGAGGTGATACCAAATGCGTTCACCACATTAATTAAGGTTACGAGGGAAGTATTTCCTCAATTTCAGTTGTTCATCATCGTTTTAATTAAAATTACCCCCAAACCCCAAGTAGCGAGAAGCTCGTTTGAGATCATAATTTCAAACAATTTCAGGTACACTGAAATCCCGTAGTCGACTCCCGTCGATAAGATGCTCCATAGCAATTTCAGTCTAGAGAAAGTACTAGAGAAGGAATCTTACGAACTGTTTGTCTTAAAACATTTTTCTGACAAATGTATATCTGATTGTATGTAATACATTGATGAAATTTAAGGAACTCAAATGTATTCAAATTTATATCGAGAATTCCTCGTGCGACATACTTTATATGACAGCTACCAAAACAGCGATAACTTTTTTAAAGTTATCGCTGCGATATTCTTATTTGGTCCTCCTGCTTTTTTGGTTCTTCCCTCGAGTAAGAAATTTCTTACTTATTTCGATTGAGACAAGACGTATGCCTGCTTTCTCAGTATATTTGCGCTAAAGATATTGTAAGTACATTTGCTCTGGCTGCCACCCACGTGCCATCTCTACTTTGAAAAAGCATAATCCCACTATATCAGAAGCAGTGGATTTTTGACAACTATTACAACAAATACATATCTGAAACATTTTGCCTAAATAATATCGGTCCGACAATGAGCCTAAAAGAGTTGGTACCATCTAAGTATTATGATGTTCGGATCAGAATACCTTTGAATACACCGAACCCGTAAGAGGATTAACTACTAAAAAAAAAAAGTGATGGGTATTTATCCTTCGTACGTAATGGCAAATGGACATTGAGAATCTATTTACTCCGCCGAGTATGTCGTTGAGCTACAGTAGGTAGCTTACAATTCATCAAGTTATTAACTAGCCCGGCAGCTAAGTAAATACAAACTGCTCCTACCAGCTACTATATGGATGGACTGCATATCCTGGTTTGACGGCAGGGTGCTTTTTATTCCCGCCCCTTATCTATCTCTCCGTGCAAAACACCCGGCGTTCGACCAGACTTCTGCAACGCAGGCCAAAATAGGCCATAATATTCGGCACAAGGAGCCACATGTGTCTTACTATGATCAGCTTGCGATATTGTTCAAGCTTAATAAGGTAATCGATCGCCAGTTTTCCATATAGTCGAAACGTAAGCAACGCTAAAGACCACCCTTCGATAACGGATTCAATCGAGAAGATTAACAGTGACTATCGATTTTCAGGAGATAGGTGTCACAACAATAGCGTTAACCGATTGAGCCATGGGCTCAAATGGTAGGAGAGGGCGTGGTGTGGATCCTGTTTCTAGATGGTTTTGGTTTTTGTTGGTATTTTGCCTGATTGCAGCAGCTTTAACTAAGGCCTTCCCAACAACACTTCAAGAGAGTGGAAACTCTGCAAATAAAGGTATACAGACAAGCACGTTATTTAAGTGTCTGTCAAAATGTAATTATTTTATTCTAGGCCAAGCGTCCATGTCTAATCGGTGTTAAATCAGGTGAAGATGATGGCTATCGTTGTTAAAGGCAAAATTACGCATTACGTTAACGTTGATCTGCTACAATCGGAAAACAATTAGACCATCTCTAATAGCGCTGTATATGCAATGCAATACCAAGTGAGGTAGATTTAACAGTTAGAGAAGTATTTGATGCGCGCGTTTATGGAATAGACGTCTTGAATATTTCCTTAAGTTTACCTGGACACATACACCACGGCGCCTCTAAGGATGACAGGCCTTTAAGACAATCCCGCTTCTGTTTGCACAACGTGAAAGCCTGAAGATTGTATTTTGGTTACGCGTCACAGACCCTTCAGACACACGGTCGTTTTTTCTCTTAGTTACTGCACGCCCGAGACCGTGTTTTCGTTGTTTTTTTATGTATGATTTTATATAATATTTCATTAATATTATATTATGTGTTATTTATATTATTTTTGTCATGTTCATCTTCGTTTAACTACGGTGTGTTTAAGCGATTATATTCATGTCAAAATCTTTTCTTTTTCTTTAACTGAAAAGAAGTCATCGATGTATGGCCTGAAGCCAGCGAACGAGTTACCTTATTATACGTCTCTGCTATTGACGTAATGAGTCAGTGTCGCTGGCTCCTACTTATTAAGGTGCTAATTGTTAATGATCCTTATAAATCATTTTTACGTATCTGTTTTTACAATGTTATTTTGTGTTTAAGTGTTATATGGCCATAAATTTATATAAAATATCACGTCAAATGGCTGTTTAGTTCAGAATACTGTACTCATTCGAGGAATTCATAGGACCAATTTTCGGAATCAGATCATACATAAACAATAGCGCCCTGATTATGGGTCCATCCGTAACAGATCATCAAATTTTTAATCAGCATTTCGACCTTGTGTGTGTAAACAAACTTCTTCGGAAAAGGTTTTATAATTAGAAATCCTTCTAATTTTCAGACGGTGCGGTGGTCGGTGCTCAAAATTCAAATCCTCCAATCGCGAAGTACAATGAAACGGCCGCTTCTTCAAATGCTATTAAGGTAACGTTGCATGAGTTCGTTAACTACTGGTTCTGCAACAACTAAATAAAGGAGACGCTAGTGCAAAAGCTGTCTTATTTATTTATCTAAGAGGAAAATGAGTCGTAATTGTAATATCGTGACACTTGTGTGTTCTTCACTTACGATAAGTGGCAAGTTCTTTTAGATGCAGACCATATAGAGTTCGGACGATCGTTCACGATCGCAAATCGCACTGCTGCGTAAGAGCGTCACTAGGTCACTGCGTCTGTCTTTGTTAAAGCGTAATAAATTTGCAAACAGAAGGTATGGACTATAATCGTTTTAAACTCATCAATAGGTCTCAGTACACGTAGCTTCGCAGGAACAATATACTCTTAAGTTTTCTAGCGTATCACGCAAAAATTAAGTAAAATTCCCCGTCCCGACGGTTTCTTTCACTATTAACATGAAGATCACTTACAACACATCTTTTATTCATGATTGGATAATTGTTTATTAATCAGTAAAGTCTACTCTATAAGGATAGCTCGTATTTGGCAACCCAATGAGGAGAACTTTGTGACCCGCTTTTTTACGATTGTCCAGGCGAGCCCAGTCTCATCATGTTAATGGGATTAAGAGTAGTAAAATTATACTGGCATAAACTAACGTACACTACGACGTTAATTGCGTATCCGATAGGAGTCTGATTCCTCGGAGAAGCACATCGGTCTTCCATCATCAGAAGTATCCGAAGCGCCACTAATGGACCAGGATCCGACGGAAACTCTGAATGAGCACCCTACTCGACTTGACTACTATGAAGATATGCAAATCTTAAAAGATCCCGATGAAGATGATACACCTGTTCTGCCAGAACACGGTTAGGAATCACATGTAATTATGGCTTCGTTACGAGTATGGATAGCGTGTAGTATACAGAATCAATGGCACTTACAAAATACCCAACGAAAGATGAATTATATTAAAGAGAGTTAATACCCATTTGTATATGTATTGTGTAAAGTTATCTTTTTTCGGAATTTTAAAATTTTACAACACTTTATTTACACATTTTACAACACGAGTTTCAATATGACTGCTCTACACCTCTTACATACACAACAGTTAATTCTAGCATATTATCATTATATAATCGGCTTCTGTCATGTATTGATTAGCGGTGAATGTAAATGAAGATTACGCAGGAATTTACGACTATCGAGGTTCACCGGATGGTCGATATCGTCGCAAAAGGACATTGACCACGAATATCGAACAGCTTCTCATAAGGTAGACTTGTGTATTAATTATATATTGAAGGAATCAACTGGTAACGTTAGAAGATAAATGTATAATGATTCAAACCGGCATTTATAAAGTCGAATAAGTCAAAAGTTTATTGAACGTACGGCTGATCAAACTGACTAAATGGATCCCATTCTTTGCAGGTCCTCACGCTTGAACAGGGTACGACGTAGCATATCTGATAACTCTTTATCTGAGACGATATCAGCAGGCGAGCGTGCTGAGAGGCTCGTTTCGTTGTTACGTATCCTTCAAGATGCTGATCCTGCTTTTGATGCAAATGATTTCCTTAAGGTACAAAATCAATCGATGCGAATATTCATCCGTTTTGAAGAACACATTGGAATTCTGTCGTGACGTTGCTTAAGAAGTATAGTTAGTTTTTTCTACGTTTCTTGCTCCCTGGTTATATAAGTTAACTAGCATATACTGAGCTATCTGTTCTACGACAGCCGCTAATCGATTTGTTTTGTTCTGCTTCGCACCTGAGAGCATATCCTATAGAATCCATGTCAAATATATCTATATATATATATATTGTTACTGAAAACTAGCTTACATTATATCTAGACAATCGACTACAATGTGTACGTCTTTTAATCGTTTTACTTTTAAATATTGTCTGTCAAGGAAAGATCCACTCAGAGCCTAATTTTCGGGGTTGCCCGTTTAGGGGGGAATAAGTATAGTCAATGAGATGTCATATTCGGTACAAGTTTCAGAGAAGCAGTTAGACAGCGTCGCTGAACTTCCCAGCTAACTGGCTGTTCATAGGACATTTCGCCTAGGATCAGTTTTATGTAGCGCTAATTGTATTAACAGCATGACTAGCGTAGTAAGATAGCCTTTCAATGGCTAAAATCTCTGTCTGAAAGAAGAAAGCAAAGCATATTAAAAGCTAGAAGATAAATTACTTCGAGGGAAAGTATTACCGCGCATCGGTCAGTTAGTACGTGCACTTTTGGCCAGGCTTCAGAGTAGTGCTCCATGGGTTATTGAAGAATGTGGACAAGAGAAGGTTAGCAAACCGCATGCTAGTTTAAAGACATATAGCACGAGGACGCAGTTCCTTTTCGCTTAAGTAACTACCGCTTTTATTGAGTCACTGATGGTATGTAACCGTGATGCTGATGATGCAGTTAGTCTTGTCGTGAGATTTACCAAATGGTACTTTTTCTCTTTTATATATTACAAATACGTTAGGTTCTTCATACGCCATCAGTGAGTGACCAAGACCTCGAATATTTAATCTATTTGTCAAATATTGCGGATCTTACCGGCGCAACCGCCTTGTTTCCACGTCCAGCCGACCGAGATCACGATGTCAGAGAACGCAACTTCGATGCTTCGGAAAAACAGTCGGTCCAGGGTAATCTGGAGACTGCCCGATCATTGCAGTCGACTTGGCCGGAACTTATAGAACTCGCACGAATGCAGCAACAAAGACGAAAAGGACAACAAAAACAGCATTTTCTGCAGCAGTCATCCGAGCCATTCTTCCTTGTGCCGGTCAGTAAGAATATGACAGTCAAACAAAATCTACCAAACCCGATCTTAATTGCATCTTCGATCTCTTAAATGTGACCAACTTCAATACAAGCGAAAACAAAAATGTTGAAATAATTTTAAATGATGTTTTGCCGGTATCCTTACACAATGGAGATAAATATGTCAACAGTGCACCATTACGGGAGCCATTTTTTGTCGTCTAGAGCTATCGAAGCATTTCAACAACCGAACTGCCTCTAGATCTAATTTTAATTTGAAACAACTCCATGTGTGTATCTACATGCTCCAAGAGCCTTTGCGTTGCCCACTTTGAGATGCACGCCTTAACCCTAAACTGTACATAAGATAGAAAAAACTTATGTACATTTAGACTGTACAATTAGATCTAGAAGTAAGTCTTTTTTTCTCAAAATCCTTTAAAAATGTTAAAGCAGAAGAATATCCTCATAACAGACCAACACAAAACATTACCTGTGTCTCTGTGTCAAGCAATGTCCCAAGAGTTTCATACTTGCTTAAACCAAATTAATCATATATCTCTTATCCTGCTGCGAGCGTCGTTCACACATAATTTGTCGTATTTTTTGCAGGATTTCATTCTATTAGATGACAGCAGCATTGCATCGAAACGTGAACAGCCCCCGAAGTCAAGCTTGACCTTCTCCCGTCTATTTGCTATCGCTGCCCTGATGGCGCAACAGCAATATGATCCTACAGGGATTGCCATGTGATTTAACAAGCTATACCAGATTTGTGTAGTTCGCTTCCTCCACTCGGTGGTTTTGTACCTTTAACGGGGACCTCGACAGATCTTCCCGTTACTTATTCATGATGGGGTTACACGGCGGCAAATATCTCCACCCATTGGACGCCGATTTGTTTGCCATGCGGCTTTTAACGATTCTAACGGAAATCCTCAGTTTTGTATCACCAGTCAATGTGATGAACGATCGCTTTGGCTCTGGGCACGTCACGATACTAGCGGGTAAATGGGGGAAGAAATAGGTGTCTACATCAGTGAAGTCATAATAGAGCGATGACAAGTGACAGGCTGATGAGGGCATACAACTCTGTTATCTCGCTTCACATAGTACATCGATGACGCGAACATGTTCCGCAATTCATAATTCCAATTATACATTAATATTACTATCATTATAATCATACAGTCTTACAGATCCTGCTATAGCATAGACATATACATGGAAAAATAATAATAGAGTACACGTGACGTACGCTAAACTGCCTGAAAACAAAAACCTACCACTAACATCTACGTGCAGACGATATAACACACCAAGAAATATATAATCGGCAACTAATCGATGAGCGGAGCGCCAATGCTGCGCGAGGAAAAGACAAGGTTTGGGGAACGACTGATAACTGTTTAGCCTATGCCTTTTTCCAATCGTCGTCTCGGTATAAGCTTTATATAGGCGAAGAAATCATTAAATATTTGTTCAAGATGAACTGGGAAAAAGTGAGGTGCGGCAATTGATGCTCCAAAGCCAGCAAAAGCACAAACGAGGCGGAGAAAGCACTACAGGAAATAAGGTTCTGAAGAATAATATTTGCATCCTAATTACTACCTCATAACTGCTTTTGAGAAGCCTATGAGAAATACTGATGCATGCTTGCGCGGAGGTACTTTTATCTAAAGATGAAATTCGAATACATTCTTCTGAAACCATGGGATATTCTTCAGTAGATTACATTGAAAATAATATGGCAGGATTGGTGGAACGTAAAGAAAAGAGATGGAACTATAAAACGTATAATACTCCATAGGACAAAACGATCTAAAATTAGCTTTGTTAAAAAGCGCTTTCCAGGTAAGAGTATATCTGGCCTGCGAGAAGCTGCGTCGAAAATGAGATATATCTTTACTATTAATAATTACTGACACGGCGTGACATTTGCATTTCCGGGGGCGCGGAATAGACTTGTAAAGCTCGTTCTGCTGGTAACGGTCAGAAGTCCTCTTCTTGATTTTCTACGTTTTCGTTGTTTTTAAAGCGGTTACAATGGGCGAGTCCTTAACCAGGATTTACTCGTCCCAAATAATAGGAACAATTAGATGAATAGTGATGATTGGTGATAATCACTATGGTAAGTACTTGCTGTGTAATCCAGAACACGCACTTCAATCTCAACTTGTGATAATAGAGTCAGGAGACGGAAACTTAAGGGAAGTTGTTGGAGATTGTTGACGAAGTAGATTTTGCCTCGGGAAAGGTTACTGGTTAACGGAGGGAATCGTCAACGGGTGACAGTTACATAATTGACCGATAGATATATATATGACAGAATATAATAATCGTAATTATCGATGTGTGGGAGTTACAGACAGAAGAAGAAGAAGAAGAAGAAGAAGAAGAAGAAGCTTACTTTAAAGATTTCGTCATTTAATTGAAGTCGTGGGAACAACTCAAAAACGTACATTTTAAATTTCACTGCGAATAGATTACAGCAGGTATGTCATATACTGGGCCCACAGATACACCCACGCAATTAACAAACAACTACGTCTGGGCATCGTACCACGTTCTCGAAGCGTTCGTGGGTCGTCTAGGTGTCAGCGTAAATGCTCCGCGCTTCCCACACTACCGCATTTTAAAACGCGGTTTTACTTTTCTCGATACCGATACAGTTGTGGCCATCTGCTCTTATTTACCTCATGTGATATGTAGAAGAAAAGATAATAATATAAATATCACAGCATCTTACGTCTCTTTATCGCCTACCGAAATACTGATGGAGAAATAGTTATTACTTTCTCTAATAGAAAGAAACTACTGGATGTTCAACATTACTTATACCGAAGGCACTCTCAAGTTGTTATGAAATTTTTATCATAAAAAAAAATACACCTTTAGTGATGAACGTCTATAAACGAAATGTTCGACATGGATAATATAGTTAGTTCTGTTTGCAAGAGATAGATTTCTGTCAAAAATCGGTTAGGCCTATGGTCGGTAATAGTAAACTAGAGCGGTTTAGGCCAAAAATACATTTTCCATTCGTTTTAACGGATGCCTACATTTGAATCTTTTGAGAAGTAATTAACCTGTAGATCTGTACTTTTAGCCTGTAGATCTCTCCGAGTTACTTGCAATGATTTTTGCATAGAATATTAATTAGGATAGATATTCGCGTATAAATATTATACAAGAGATAATTACTTTAGAAAAAGTGTATTTTGTCGAGATAATAAAGTGCTTTATTTGAGTTAAAACCGGTTCTGTTTTTAAACTGTGTATAGATTCTAGCATTGAAATTGAATCTACACTTCTGCTGCTGGAGGTGAAGCCTTGGCAGGTTACGCGAGGAATCAACCAGCTCAACATTCTTTTAAAAAGAGCTGTACAATGGATTCCATAGATTTAAAAAAATATTAGTTTGCTAAATATCCTTATATAATTTTATGCACATGTATACTGTTTATTTTCTTAGAACGCAGTACCTGTTAAATGGTTCAGACGCGAAACACGATGATCAAAAAGCAATCGTTCAATGGCCGTCTATAGCTAATAACAACTTACTGAAAAGCACTGCGACAGATCCATACAGAGTTATAAATTTTTTGAAGATTCTGTTAAATGGAACTTTCATCGAATTAATCACTAAGTTGATAAGCAATGCAAGTTAATACGCTTCGGTTCACCTATTAGTGCAGCTTTTCCCATATATTTAGCCCTGAATCTGCATTTTTCAAGCTGATTTCTTTCAAAATACACCGCGTAGCAGTTATTTACATTCTATTTATAGCTATGTTACTGTAGAATATTTGATGTGACACTGGCATAATATAACCCTAGTTCTTCTGGATATAAGACGAGCGCCGCGAACGCCACAGCAGTCATGTCTTGCCTGTCTAACATCACTAGCAAAAATAGGACTATTCGTATTTCTGTCCTTCGCTGACGAGCATAGGTTAAATGCAGCGGCCCATACTGTCGACGAGGTTTTTCAAATAGGTACTAGACTGTACACAACCTGTTGTCTCTTTATAAAATATATATTTTTCTCAATTTAAATAGTATATCGCGGCGGCAACGTCAGAGTATCAGACGTGACAAGCAGAAGTGACGTGTTACACGTTATTATTATTACGGTTATATATTTGGTATCAAGCATTACACCGTATGTTATATTAAAAATAGGCAATCGTTCGAATGCTCCTCCAATCTAGACGCTGGAGAAACGCAATTAAGCTGCTTCAAGGCGACCCTCGTTTACCAAACATTTTTTTAGACTCGTTTGCATTTTTCTATCTAAAATGATTAGGTGAATTCGTTATCGGTAAACCTGCTAGTAACCACAAAGGACTGCATCAATTCAAAGGTCACGCAGAAATAAAAGCAATGTCTAGGCTTCCTGGGAGTCCCGGGGACGACAAAAAGCCAATTATGGGAGGCGTCAAGTATTTTCAAGAACCGCTTATAATGTGGAGATGTTACCTATGTTTTGTTGAGATTTTAACTCAATTGTGTGCTCGCCGCAAAGTCTAAGCTAACTTACTTGAGGTTATAGTAACTTTGCCTTCGCGGCAACAGATGAGTGGTGTTCGCCTTATCCATCCAGTCGCCATAAACACATTCAATCAAATACTGAAAGGAAAAATCGAACAGAATGCGATCCTTGTAGTAGATCTCACCGTAGACTGAGTTCTGTATACGTGAAGTTCTCTGATGAAATCCTTTCTAGGAAAATTTGGTACTATGTTTGTTATGCAGCTTTCAGCTTTAGCGGAGTGTCTGGTAAACACGAAGTCGACTGCAAAACTTTGTTCTACTCCGATGATGCTCAGGTAAGTGCAAAACCTTATTATTAATTAGCGCCTTATTTACAAGGCCTATGGCATTGGCTAGCAGGTTCTCACGAGTCAAATATTATAGGCGAACTTCACCGGATACGAACGTTAGACAACAAGTTGCCCCGCCTGATAGGCAGTTTCTAGCTATTCAAATATCGCCAACTATAAACGGCAATTAGGAGCATATCGTATTAGTTCCACACATCTGTACTCGTACTCGCAATATTAAAAAGCCATTCTCAGAAGCGAGTGCATGTGCGAGGAAGATACGCCTCGATGCTCGCGGCAAAAATATGTAAATGGGTGAAGAGATAGATATTTATATGACTTTAGCTTCGTGTGACATAACTACAATGTAGCTCCGTAGCGCAATTAGAGAATCGGTATATTTGCTTCATTCTAATCTAGTCAAAGTCTGGCTCTTTCGCGAATCCCCCTCGGGTCTCCGACACAATTACAAACAATTCAATTAATATGTTTCAGCTCGACTTTCGTTCTTGGCTTGTTTCAAATATGGTCCTCCTCTCTCAGTGACGATCCATGGCGTGCTTTTGACAATTGTTTTCGAGTTTGAAATTTGGCGGCATAACAAGATCAGCGCTTTTTTCGAAGAATAAATACACAATATAGCGTATATAATATTGACTTGGTAAATAGATATAAAGCAACAATGTAGAATTCAACGTTTTAGTCGTTGGCTAATAACAGCTAACGGTAAATGTCGTTCACAACTAACATAATTATACTATTTCTCGTTAATTAGTCGTTTATACGATTTACCCATAAGGCAGGAAAGGGTTCGTCAGTGAAATTGTCGTTCGAACTCCACAGCACTGTACATGCCACACGTCGCCTACCCCATCTGTGTAGGTGTGCTCACAAAAACTCGCTGAATTTAATAGTTAGGAAACCCCCCGAAAATCACTATATTTCTTGGCCTATTGGCGCAAATACTGCCGTACGACTGTGAAGCACGTGCGCGATTCGAGAAGCACTTAGGTGGCGCCCCAGTTGTTGTGAAGCTGCTACTTGTTTGGCTCAGCATGCGCCACCGTTCACATCGAGATGACTTTTATATAAGGGATACATCGACATGCATGAAATAAGCCAAAGAGGACATTCCTACAATTTCTTTGTGTGAAACGTAATATATTTGCAAACGAGCGCATTTTAGCGGGTGTCGAGTGGTGGCTGCCAATGTAATCGTGAAAATCACAAAGATCCACTTGCCTGGAAGGGTGACATAGCAGAAATAATGGGTGGACAAAATTAGCTTAGAATTTATCCAACTTCTGTTGTTTGTTATGTAGCTGAACAAAATTACGGGTCGCTCATTTTCAAGGAAGACAGACGAACACACAATTTTTATAAGCAGGGCAATTTTCTTCCCGCGCAATTTAAATTAATATGTCGACGGGTGAATGATAAATGGATATTTTTGGTTAGATGCTAGGTCATGTGTGGGTGGCATGATATGACTGATACAGGACATCGTATAGGCATTCTTTTTAATAGATACGGATTAAGACGCCAATACACCAATAGCAAAGAAATACTAAGCTGAGCGATGACCTTACTCCGATGTGCTGATGCCCGCAAGTCCGATTCGAGGCAAGCTGAGTTTAGTGGCTAAAAATCCAGTAACAAATACATCTTCCATGCTAATTAAGGCTGTACGAAAAACTTCTTTGAACATTTGTCCGATGACATTGCCGGTAATCACATACAGGCTGCCTTAGAACAGGAACAAAACAAACACACCCCACAGGCATTTAAGGTGTTTATTCATTGTCTATTATATGGTACAATGCACCAGTGTGTTGGCGTAATTTTGACCTACGTACAACGCGCTGTCAGGAACGAGAGGCCTAGGTTAATTGCTATCATATAATCTTGCTATGCTAATTGTAGCCAATTCAGTAGGAAGCGAAGCAAAAGTTGCAGTGCGACCGACGCACGTTTGCCCCTAAAAGAAGCCTCTATCTTAAAATTAGGCTTACCAATAAGGGCAACGTTGAGACAACTGTAGGAGACTTACCGCCAAGATAGTTAGGAAATACATCGTCGGGATATTCCTCCTTGGACACATACCATTTACTAGATTTATCACGAATTGGCCCCTGCAAATAAATATCGCAAGACAGAATGAAAAGATGTAGTACGAAGCTGGCAGCTTCTCGAAACACGCACTTACTCGCTCGAAAACAAGGACCTTAAAGCATTATATTCAACGAGTACGCTTCGATGCTAACGATGACCGCACAAAATCGCAGAATACGCTAAGGCGGAGGTTCAAAAAAATCCAGACATAAGCCATCGTGCGCAGGTTCCTATCGGAACAAATATCCCTCTAAATAACTATGGTAGAAAAAAATTCACAGAGATTTGCCTCGAAGCGTTTCCACAGAGAGTTTTTTGCCTTGGAAGTACTGCAACTGAAGCCTATTTTTAAACTGAGCACCATATATTTTAAATTTATCATCATTTTGTATTAATTTGTTGTATTTTAGCTCGGGAATTTCGTTTGATGAAAATGGCAGGATCTTTTATTGCTTCGAGATGAAGTCCCTTTGCGCCCTCCGTATTCTTACGTAAATTTTTAATTACGACGGACGAGCAATCTAATAATTTTTTTGATCCTATAGCTTCATATACCATATAGCCTTTCGTTCTTTCCGTGTCAAACAGCATCGACTCTACTTTTTTTTCTGTCATGTAAATTATATCTCTTTGCGGAAATCGGAACGTTGGCTAAATTACTAACCTTTTCGAAATGTCCCAGCCCCGCAGCAAATGGGATCCCCATCGACCCAAGTGTATCAATATTTTTACGTAGCTGCAGTACATTAATCATCATGTCATCGTCTGCTTTCACCTGTGTAATTCACGTACGCAGTAGAAATGATGCATAGATTATTGAATAGAAAAAGAATCAATTTAATGTTCGGCGCGCCGACTAAAGGCCGACTCGTGATCAGGCTCGTGGCCTTATAGTTGCTATCGACAGACCAAACTTAAGTTCATTTGAACGTCTAGTCTATTTTACTAATGCTAATAACCGAAATAGAAACAGCATGTCTTATAGCTACGTGAACAATGAGAATGGTGCAGTGTTCATATACAGCGTAAACGTTGTATAAGGTTAGGTTAGGTTCTTTGGAAATCTAGCTATGAGTTAACGCCGAGAGGACAAGTTGAATCACCAATTCGCGACGAACGAAATTCTAAAGACAATACCGAAAAACCGCAGAAATACACTGACGAAAGTCTCGGAAGAGACCGAACACGGATTTTCAAAGTTTTTTTTCAAAATTTTTTTTTTTTCAAAGGCCATTTGAGGGCTGGAAGGACTGTGCTAAAGGGCCTCAATTTTAGGAGAGGTGCATAGCGCATTTGGAAAGCAACCGGGATTATTTTGACATTTTTCCACAGCTGAAGAGACGTAGAGGTATGAATTTAACGAGAGAACAACAGCGCAATCGTCCAAGTATCATTTTCATCACAGCCTTTTTTTTAGAATTTCAACACTAGTTTTGATTCCTTTTGAAGAAAGAAAGCATTTCTCTATTTTTTTTCTCTTCATTTTTAGCGAAAATTGTTACTCTAGTTTTAAAGGTTGAAATTTTATTTTTGAGGTGGGGCACTTCGTACTTTTCTTGCATCTATGCTAATGTTCGATTCCAATTAAAGCAATGTGTGTTCATTGTGGAACCTTTGTTTCAACAAGATTCTGCAGCAACACCCACGCTAAACCTCAAGCAAAACATCTACGGTTAATAAAAATTCGCTTTTCCAAAAGGATTGTTTCATTCTTTTGCCATTACCCACTTTTTAAGCCACCATACTTTGTCAGCAACTTCTACCCTCTCATTTTTCTCGGAGCTAACTGTTTACCTGGTATAGTTTATCTGCGGCTATACACAGTCGATTCCTTTTGCAACATTTAAGCATCGTGTAGGGATACACACGATATTGAGGTTGAACTTTTTCCCAGTAGCAACCTCTCATATCTAGTATTATTTATGTGTAATATGACCAGTCGTAGATCATGTGGTGCGGCCCAGTTATCGATTCGGTAGACCTAACACAGTATGAACATCGGCCGGCAAAAAAATGAAGGTTAACGTATTCACTCTAAAGCTTTGGCAATGACTCACTAGATAAATGTTCGGTTGGCAGGTAAAACTTTTCCGTCTGTATTTATATAGTGCGTTCGTAAATATAATGGATTCTAAAAGCTTACGAGATACGTCGGGCGACAGTTCGCAGCCCATCTAAGCATCATTATGGACTTGATGGTCGCATTACGGTACGTATCATCAAAGGCATATTGCAAAATATCACCATACTTCCTGGACTCGAGCTTGATTTTTTCCTGGAATGAACTGCAAAAAAAGACACGAAAAGGCTCCTTTAGCTGAGTCATACGGGATTAGCATGACTTAAGGTATACCATAACAAACTAACGAAATGTATCCTATTGGATCATGAATTAACACATGTACTTGGTTAAGGCACATCAAGAACTAAAATAGGTTTACGGAGCTATTAGCGTAATACTAAAACAGTAACGAACCTTGAACTAATACAACGAAAAACGCTTGTCATAAAAATAAACCTGTCCTAAAACGACACTTTGCCAATAATAAAAATATAGATTATGCTCGTTTCAGAAAGCATCCTACATAATGTTAATCTGCCGTCAAACATATCAGCATATAAAAACGTCGTACAGCTACGTATACAGGCTTTTGACGTAGTGCAATGGGCAATTGATAATCTATATAAGAGGTCACAGAAATAAGATAATGAGCATGAAGTACTTGTTAACGGTTTCTTTTATTGATAACTATCCTTAGCCTATTTATTGAAGGACACATGCAGTTTAAGGAGTTTCCAAAATACACGACTGCTAGCCATAGTACTTTTTACTATTTCATGTAAATAGTATTTTTCTATAATAGTTCTATTACGCTAATAACTTCACGAACCTGTTTTTGCCACTTCCGAGAAGAAAGACGGTTTTACCCCTTCCTGAGATTGTTCGTACCTCGCTTGCCCATGTGCTTCTCACAGCTTCACGCTGGTTGATGTTTTCCACCGCAGATGCCACCACGAATAGAAATCGTAGATTCTCGCAAGAACCGATAGGTCGAATAGTTTCCACATAATCATAAGTATACCTGCGTCGTCCAAAAGCCCAGTACAGCATGGTGAACACAACGAAATCAATTTTAAAAATAACAGATAAAATCGTGCGTTTAGCTGGTGGAAAAGAAAAACACGATAGGAAAATAGCGATTGCGCAACTAACTTACGTGTCCACTTCCAACTTAGACAGGAAAACAGCCTATTAGATAGGCCAGCCTGATCTGGCTGGTTGACGCGCATCTCCTAATCTAATCCCCCCTAATGTAATCACAAGCAACATTCAACATGCTGCCACGCTGGCTCAAGTTTTAGCGTTGGCAAAAACTACTATTAGATAAATGAATCAGGGAAACAAAGAATGAAAAATGAGATATCTAGCTGCTTGTATTGTCGTTATGACGTTTCGCAGATCTGTTGGCAGAAGCCTGAAGGAGTTCAACAAGACCCACTTCGGTTAGGCTATACTTGTACGTACAGTTACTCCTTGATGCTATACCTTGATGAATGCTATACCTAAAAATAGGTTACTCTGAGGACTTGTTCCCGTAAGTGTACTGAGTGAAAGTGTTGAAGTGCCCTGTGAAATAATCATACCACCATGCTGCATAGTACACTAAATATTGGAGGTAGTCGGGAACAAACAAGCCTGCGAGCTGTTGTTTGTCGTAACGGTCGCGTGTTCCGCTGTTTTTTATGCTATTAGAGGAAGTAAGCTACTTGTACAACAGGATAGTGAATTTGTGTTGCGAATCAACCTCCGGGAACAAAAACTATCCTAAGTCATCCCGTATCGACAGTATACCACGTCTTAAATGGATATGGCTGCAGAAGAATTAAAAACAAATTTACACACAGCGTAGCAGAAAATCCATGATACAAAAAAAAAGAGAATGTAGAATCTAAGGTTAACATAAGCCTACGATGTCACGGAGTATTGACAAAGACCCCCGCGCACCTTATAAGACAGACGTCCCCTCACCAGATTGCTTGCTACGGAATTCTGCAACGAATGAAGCAACACACATATTCGATCTTTCTCTGAAAAAAAAATATATATGCCCAACGCAGAATCGCGGAAATGATTGTGCACGATGTAGATGTATTTGTTGTAGGTAGTAGCAAATTTTCGAGTTTGGGATATGAAGTTGGTGTTCTGACTGTGATGTTCAATGAAGGAAACGTTATACTACCATACTTCGTTCATAGATGTGTCACTGAATGTTTATCTGTATATTATAGAACTGCCACACAAGTGTGGAAAGCCAAAGCGGAAAACGATACGGAAGACTGTACATTTATTTTTACAATATGACTAATGCAAGATCTGTCTGAGTATACGAGTAGATCCTGTTTTTATAGCCACGTATGATCGTCAAACAGCCTAGACTCGAATCCGTCGGATTACTCTGTATGGAACTCTACTAAACGAGAGCTTAACAGGTTTCGGCACGACAACGTCGCCTTGCTCACTCATGCTATCAACAAAATATAAACATTTATATAAAGAAAATATCTAAAATGAGGCTGTGAGTTGTTTGCTCAAGCTGTAGTCGTAGTCGTAATGAGTAAATATAGCAGTGACACTTTTCTAACATATGTAAAAAATTTCCGTGAAATATATATATATATATATAGATGTTTAGATACGGTCTTAGAAGCAAGCATAAGAAAAATACCTGATTTATATATATACGTCTACTCAGCGATTAAGCACATCGTGAGGGCCGAGTGCACATCATCGCTTAGGTGAACCAATATAGATAACAATAGGTAGGCATAACGCTAGCGAGGTTATGGTGCCGTTTAGGTTAACTTTCACAGTTTAAAGCGGTTTACGACTATTGCGTAACCTTACATATTTCAATATGTTAGGTACATGTTCGTATGTCCCTTTTTTCATCTGCCTATAAGATTTTAATTACAACACGACGTGAAGTTCCTTAATCTTGCTTAAACCCTAGGATCTCTTTCAATAAAAGATCTGCCACCTACCCTGGTCAAATCGACGATTCAAAATAGGTCCTTAACACATGTTGAGAACAAACTATGCATAACCGTTACATTGCAGTTACTTATTGACATAATGGAGAACAGCCATATTCTTACCTTTGTGAAGTGTTAAACCACGCTCGGCGGGAGAAATCGGCCGAAACTTTTCTTTGTATTTCGAAACTGGTATCCTTAAAAAACTCCACATACCCTTTTAGTTGGTGACTTGTTAACGCGGAATATATGGTCACCTGTAACGTACGCGGAAAGCTAACTATTTCTTATTTTTACATAAATACGGGTTTTTAAAATACTTCACATAAGTTGTACATGAATGAACAGTTCCATGATTAACGCAATGGCCATTTAACTCCGCTTAAAAGGAGGCTCATCCTTCTCTTGTCGTATACCAAAGTCGACGCAACACCAACAAAAGTATCGCTTGTTAGCTATTTGTTTAGTATGAGATTGTCATCATATATAGCTCAAGTCAACATATGCGAGCGCGATGATGAAGTTTATTGCTATTATATAAGGTTATTGTGCCGTTTATGTTAGCTTTCACAGTTTAAAGCAGGCCTTGTTTACGATTATTGCGTGATCTTACATATTTGAGCATGTTAGGTATGTTCCACTTCATTTGCCGATCCGATTTGAAAATCAAGACGACGTGAAGTCTCTTAATCTTCCTTAAGATGTAAGATCCCTTTCAATAAAAGATTATGGCTCTGTGTCCCACCTACTCCGGTCAAATTCAACGATTCAAAGGAAGTTTTTAACGCACGTCGAGTGACGGCATAGCCTAATTTTTTTATTTGTTCGATTTCAAAAAAAATATTTAATTTTTTATGATTATTGGCGTTATTACAAAAATTGAAAAAAAAACCTATTGAATTCAGCTGGCCGTCGATAAAAATAATCTACCCTATCGACCATTCACACAGGACACTTATTTAGTATTGGCTTATTCTGCGTTATCTTGCACAATACATATAGTTGTAAATAAATTGCCCACATTGCGCTGCAAAAAAGGTCGCTATGCTTAAACCTATCTTCATCAGGCAACGTATGCTCAATGGCTGAGAAAGAAAACAGCACCAACTTACCTGTGGAGAACTTCGAACAAGCACGAGACATAGTACGACAAATAACAAGAAGAAGAAGAAGAAGACGATTCTAAAGCGTGATCGCCGGAACTGCGCCGTGGGCAGTGTATCAGTAAGCAGGTTGCCTCCTAAAGGAACTTTGCGGTAGACGAAAATGCTCATTCTTTTCTTGCTGGAACACCTTGAAGAACGAATTTAAGGCATGGATATTTAGAATTGCACTCGCTCGTAAGTTATGCAATCGCACAGGGTTTACCGCAACACAGAAGAGTTTGCTGTGTTTACAATGGACGCGGTGTTGTTATTACCTCATCAGTTAACAAACAGCACAGATTTAAAACCGTTTTTGTTTAGCACAATTGAAGTCTACTACCCGAAAAGCAAGCATTTCGGCATTCCCGTAGCTTATCTTGCAAAACTTTGCCCATCAACGAGACTATATTTAAATGAACCTGTCTCGTTGGGAGGAAAATTTCGAATAGGTGTGCCGAGAGCGTGTTTAGCCACGTTTGAAAAAAAAAACACCTAAATTAAGTTCTGAGCCGGCAACAAAATTGAATAGAGCTTGAAGAACTAACAGCGCGCCTCTTCAAGTCAACGAAACATTTGTACGAGGTTCGGCCACACCAATGTCGTAATAACTTTTCTATTATGATTTTAGATTCGCCACTATTTATTTGCTCGTACAACTTTCCAAAGCGTGAAAAGCGTTAACGAACCAGATAGCTAGCGTCAATGTCAGTATCTATTCCCAATCGATTCATATTAGGACATTCACGGTAGCGCACAGCGGATCAGCTCGCAAGCCTGAGATAAGTCACTCCGTCGACCAAATTAATAAATTATTGTTTACTACCTTGAAGAGTTATAGTGAAGTTACACGTATGTTCCCTTGGTAATCGGTCGAGGTCGAAAAAGATCGACGTAAACTATCAAGTTCCTGCATAGTGAACGCATAGAAAACGATATTCGTCAACGCGGCAACCAATAACAGCTATTCTATCGATTTTCGAATTACTGAATGTCAAAATTGCGTCATTACGTTGCAGTGATTAATACTCTAACAAACATCGTCTACTTTAGCGGAACAATACTGTTAGCTCTAATGCAACAATGAGAGAGATAGAGAGAGAGGGAGAGTCGCTATTACGTTTGGGCATGGCGCAAACGCTGCTACCGTGTAGACTTTATATGTTTATCTTGTGCATAGTGTAAGGAAAAAATGAGCTTGACAGCTCAGATCTCGCATACATACATTTTTAGCCAACAACTGTATTAGAAACAGTCGGTAAAAAGCTTAATCTTGTAAAAAATTCACAAACGGACATATCGGTTCATACTTTTTGCAATAAGACATCTGTGATTGTGTCAAATTTGTTCATAATAGCGCAGCCTGAGCTGGTATCTATAGTACCTTTGGACCAAATTATTGCAAATCATGATGTGAGCTTGTCACGTCACCTGTCCGCAGTTTTGATGAAAATAGGCATTTTTCCATAAATTTAAGGGTATCAGTGGACAAAGTATTATTACGGAAACAGTGTTCTGTACACCTAAATGTTACCTTATGAATATAGCCTTTGAAGACTCACCCTTCAAAGGGCCATATAAGAGTTGATAACGATAGCTCGTATCCGTTCGGTGGCTAATGATCCTAAGTCACAACCTAGAAGTAATGTCGAGGAAACGCAAAACAGTATTAAATTTAATTTCAGTGTACAAATAGTTGGGGAGTTCAACTGCTATCCAGCTGCATTCGTTGTCAGCATTCAAATGTACGTCCAACCCCGCTGCCTTCCGCCACGTCAGAGCCTTGCTGAGTGTTTCAGAATTGGTAAAAACTAGTATTTTGTCGGAGAGTGCATCATTCGTTACGTTTCTTTGCGTCCCATTTCAATAAGCTTGCTTTTATTCTTTTTTGATTTTCTTTTAGAGTTTCTATTGGTCTTCAAGGCGTGTTTCACTGAATAACCCTTAATTCTGGTCCTTTTCCGACGGTAGTTCGGCGTGGCACGTGATTTTTTTGGTTAGAACAATGTTACGTCGTTCAGTTAGACAACAACCGAACTGTTTAGGGCCCCTTGATCGTACTGTTAAATTAGGCGTAGATCGAAAAGCTTGAGTCGGATGGCATAAATTTCTATGTCTAAAAAAAAAAAAAAAAAAAGCAATTATTACATAAAATGAATTTAGTGTCTAAGTGAGTGAGGTTGAGATTTACCCAAACGGGCAGTTTAGCTATATGTAAAGTATCGAAACATCCACTTGATTACTGCGTTCGTGAGTCATTCGTAGAGTGGCCTATTTACAGTTTAATTTGAGAGCATATGTTGCAACAGCTACGTGTTGTTATCGCAGCAAAAACTAAAAAAATTCGTTGAAATCTCTTGGCGCTATGCTTTATAAAATTTTCGATCCGAATCTACCAGTGCTGTTACTGGCACAGTAACAAATAGTCGTGACGCACGAAAATTACATTGCTCTAATACGATTTCATAGATCTGATAGAGTTTCGAGACACCCGAACGGCTGTCCGGAGCGTTTGTGGTTGTGCATCCTCAAATCGACCGCGTATCCTAATCTGACATTGGTCAGGAAAACCCACTAGGTGTACCTTTGCGTTTTTCAGTATAGTTCAGCGATAAGGTTTGTGTTGAATAACACTACACAATGTGTCGAATCGAGAAGTTTTGAGAAAAACGACCAGCAGTCAGACATGTCGTTCGTACTTGAAAATCATCCATGTCCGCCATCAAAACACTAAGCAGCAGAGTGACACTTTCTACCTTGCTTTCAGAAAAACCTACACTTAATAGAGGTCGGCAAACGGCAAATAAAAAACGAACAATATTAATTGGAAAACATGGTTTGTAAGCAAGCTTTGCCGCATTGATTGATTTAAAGTAAGATGATGATACTATATTATTAGCGTTGCTTCGAGCTAGGCAGTCAGTTGACCGAAAAAAATGACGTACTCTGGCTTTTAAACATCGTGTTGCAAAAATAAACAGAACTATTGCGTTGCCTTGGAAAATCGAACATAGCTCGGTTACCATCGGTCTCGTTTCGATGGGGCCACGGGTCAGAAATACAAGAATGCAATGATCTTTGCCTAGTACTTTACGTGTTCGGTGTAACCTGCACACAGGCATAGATTTTACTCTGAGATGCATGAATTTTAACCATTGTACATTAATCTTTGGCAACCTCGACAGCGTGCCATAAACTAAGCTTTCTTAAACTGTTCGTTTTTTGGCGATCATTGGGGTGATATTACTCTCTCGAGTACCTACTTCCGACAGGCCAATCAATAGACAATGAAAATCCTATCAACGACGCGTTCGTCACACTCAAAGCGACACTGCATATACGCCAAGGGTAATTAGAGTCTTAGAGAGCTTAATATTATTTGTTATTGATAAATGTCTCCGTTTTTCCTATTCAAATCCAACATAGCTACATCCCTTCTCTTAGCATGCGAGTATGCAGATAGGTCACTCGGAATGTCGACAGCGTCTTCAGAGTACTTACGCCGTGTACAAGTTACGCTGCAAGGTTTATGCCGTCCTGCATACAAGTTACTCGAAGTCTGTGATTGCAGTTTGAGCAAGCTCATCTAGAAGATAAAAAAATATATATATAAATAGCACATTGTTAAGGCGCGGCCCCGTAGTACATTGAGCTAAGCTACGGATTTCCGTCACGACTGCTATATCATGATGAGGTTGTACAACGAACGAAGAACGTTTGTTCCGCTCTTCAAGAGTCGTCAGTGCAGATGGTCTACACCTCTGTATACAAATACGACCATTAATCAGCTGATTCCAGAACTCCTGATTGTGTTACCAAACAACCCGATCTAAGTGTATCGGTTCGGCTTCTTAACGGGAGCATCACATTGCAAGGAAAATTTTTCCATCGATGGGTCGAGCCTTCAAAAACCGCTTAAAAGGAATGTCAAACTATGCCTCGTAATAGCCTTAGCGTTCAGATAGTTTCTATAGCATTTTGATTGGTGAAATCAGGTACACTGACATTATGTAAGATGATAACTACCAGGGACGGGAACAAAAGTTTGCCTTCGGTTTGACTGGAATTAGGCTACTCTGGCCGACAGAGAACTGATTAACAATAAGATGGTCATGACTCCTAATTGTGGTTTTTTTCCGGCTATCACCAACTGTTTTTTAAAAAATACTATTCAATCTATTCGATGCATAGAGCCACAGGTTTACCTTGGCTCTATACCTTGGCAGGTATACCTTGTACGTCCTTAGGTCAGACTTTATTCTTAAAAGAAAATATTTGGTCAAAATCATTTTCGGGAATTGAATAGTGTTTTAGAGAAACGGATAATACATGCGCAGAAGCTTGCCATTTTATGGTACTAATAACGAGATACAAATTTAATAATATTTAATTTAGTACATGATTTGATCCAGTGGAACTTTCAACGGGACCGAGGACCCGTGGTTCCAGCTAAAGCCCCAATGGTCGCCGTTTCAATTTGTTCACGTAATAAGGCTGACTCTTTTTGTTTTTATGAACATTACTTGAATATTGACTGATAAGTTTCGGCTTGTCTTCGAAATTACCTGTGAGCGATTACTGTGTAGTTGCGTAGTCTCTTTATAGACCAAGTCCACTGACGATTTTCGCAACGCAGTATGTTTTATAGGCACCGCCTAGTCCCACTGCAACGAAAGCAGATCGGTAGAAGCCCAGGACAAGGGTACGTGCTTATTACTTTAGTTTTCTTTTTAGTTCATAGGCAAAATAGTGGGCACAGAATCAACATAACCTGGTACAAACACTAACACGTGCTGTTCATACATCAGCATACTACGCATCTACCCATGTCCTTATTAATTTCGAGATATCCGCATTAATACGTACGTGTGTGTGTGTGTGTGTGTGTGTGTGTGTGTGTGTGTGTGTGTGTGTGTGTGTGTGTGTGTGTGTGTGTGTGTGTGTGTGTGTGTGTGTGTGTGTGTGTGTGTGTGTGTGTGTGTGTGTGTGTGTGTGTGTGTGTGTGTGTGTGTGTGTGTGTGTGTGTGTGTGTGTGGCAGCAGCAACAATTCGTGACTGCTTTATGACCGACGGTCATACTGCGAATGATAGCTTTTGTACTTGACGTCTCAATTGAAGCACTTAGATAAAGAAATTACCCAAATGGCCATT